CTCATTATTTCAACTAACCTTGACGATGGCGAAGAGTTTTGTGAAGCAGCAGTTGAAAACATAGAGTGTGCAATCATATCTGTTGATGAAGAAAGAAAGTTGTAGGAATGCTATTGTCAAACTTTTATTTTTCATGGATACGAGTCTATTTCTCATCAGCATGACTTGGCAAAAAAGAAAATTAGTCTGCTTTTGCTAATGACTCGTCGGCATAAGAAGGTTGGAAATCACATACATATTCATGACGAAATCTTTGTTGAAGTATGCTGTTGACTAGAAATGTATTGTAATGACAAGTGGCAGAGAAAGGGAGAATGGATATATATATTTATACGAAGATCTTCCTTACGTCAGTTTGCTCGAAAGAGATATAAATATAATGTCAGTTCTTGATGTTCAACGCACAAGTGATCATTTAAAGACCAGAGAAAATGATTTAGGAAAAAATGCAAAAAATCTTTTTATGCCAAACCTCACTAAGTATGAAAATGTTAATATTACAAAATTGACTGTCTATAAATCATACTAAACTACAGCATGTCGTCGATGTCCACAAGACCTTCAAAACATTACGAGATGTTGAAGTTGATAGTCAAAAGAACATCGCATATTCTACACTAATTGATCGAGAAAAGCTCGGCTTAGCATCTGTAGCTATTAACGTGTATGTTCCGTACGACGAGACACGAGATGCAGAACAAAAACCAATGATATCCACCGATCACCATACTATTAAATGTTTCTCGATATGATTTTCTTTTCAGGCTGTAAGAAGTGTGAAAAGAAAGCGTACCTGTTTTCTTTCCGAAGAAAATTATTCATTAGCTGACTGCAACAATGACGCACTCTTTATTTTCACGCAGCACCAAGATCTGCTAGAAGAAGAAAGCACGTTTGTGACATTTTTCTAATTCACAATTTATTTCAGTTAAATTGGGTTGGTTTCACACGACTAGCGAAACCTGGTTTCTACTCATTCCATTATTATTCCGTAGTCAATATTTATATTTACAGGGTAAACTCTATTCTAATGATTGTTTACGGCTAAACTGCTAATATGAATTACAAATCATAGCTGGTCGATATATCCATATTTTACTGGACGGACATTTACTCAGTAATTGTTCTATGCTCTTAATGAGGATTGTGATAGCATTTGTAATATATAGACACGGGTAAAGCTTAGAAGAAAGCATGGCATATGTAAGATCTTTATAATACAATTCTTGTTTTTGTCATCATGATGAACAGAAACGATAAAAACAGATGCAACAAAAATATTCCTTTTTTGTTGATAGTAGTAAAAACAATTTATATTGTTTTCGAATTTCATGTTAAGCCTACCTGTGGATCATCGAATGAATGTTGTCGAATGATTGTGACTAAGAGCGTAAATGAGTAGTCTCATTTTATATTTTCCCACAACAATGACTTATATTGATGTTTAGGCTATTGTCAAACCAAGTAGTTAATCAATTCCCGACAAACACAATCAAAATATACGAGTGCAGAATTTTCATCAATAGAAAAAGAACAAAAACAGACTACTCATATAACCATACTTAATTATGAGATCAATATTAATTATCATTTGATATAAGTTAATGCTATGTCGCGTGTTTCTACTCGCGTTACTTCTGCATGTAGTTTTTTGTGACACAGAATGTCATGAAGAAATATTCAAAAATCATTTCGTTCAATAAAACCACATTTGCAGTGTATAAAGATCGTATGAACATCGTTGTTGATTGAATGTGACGAAGATCCAGTCGTTATTCCTCTTTTCTATTCATTCAGTATGGTAGGCCAGGTAGGATAAAGGTACGCCATCTATTCATTGGTGTTTTTTATTGCATTAGTAACATTGGTCGATTGAGTAGAGTCATCAATGAATCACCAATTAGACGTTGGTATTAAAAATTAAGCGTAATAAACATCATGTAACACAGAACCAAAAATCAAATACTCTTGTCCGTACTTGAATTACTTCCAAGCTGAAAACAAATTATGTTTGTGATGTTCGTGATCACCTAATCGTTGATCAATGACGAAAGATAGATTAAAAGACTTGCAAAAAACTGTAAGTTTTCATCATTCAAAGCATACTCTTTCTTTTTTTTTCATCGCTCTTGTTTTTTTAATATTTTTAAGAGTCCATGGGCACGTGGATCGCATCGGAGACTCTCTCGACAAGTATAAATACGCTTAATCATCTACGAAAAATTAATGCTCAGAGGTTTAGATGAAAAACTAATATTGTAAAATCGAGGGCGAGTGATCTAATCGTGTGTTCTTGTTTTGTTCTCGTTGATGCATGTCTTTAGCTTTGCTGTATTCTATCTGTATTTTATGTAGCACGAGATCGTTCAGTACCACGCAATTTTCAACCATGTTGTTCTTTTGTTCATAATAGCTTCGAAGCTCGGACTTGCCAAATGCTGGTAACGATGGTGCTATGCAGCTTACTGCTATCGATATAGATAAGGACTACAATGTGGCAGAATTTTTAACCCAAGTAAGTGGACATGGATGCTTTCGATCGAATTCCGATAGTGAAAATTTTCATTCAGATTGATCTAATTCGTCTACTTATCGATAAAATCGAAGAAGATGCAGAAAATGTCCGTCAAATTCATAGTAAAATGCTTGAACCTATGGCCGATGCGAGTAAAAATTCCCTTTCGCTATCAGAAGAAGACAATATTATTGTATTTGTCTTTTCCTTTGATAGAACTCGCGCAAGAACTCGATGATAAAACGGCTGATATAAAAAAGTTATCGTACGATGTTTCAGCAAAACTGAAAAGTACAAAAACGCATTTTCCTTCGCTGTTGTATAAACTTTCGGATTCTTAGAAATGGAAAAGATTCAAGAAGATCATCCCGAAGCTGATAAAGCCAATGCCGTTTGGCGTATTAAGGAAACACAAATATTCAATATCACCCGACGTTTCCGTGAAGTTATGAATGTATATAACCAAGAGTTTGTTTTGCATCGAGAGCGATGCAAACGAGCGATCGTTCGTGAACTCGAAATAAGTGAGAAAGACTTCGAATGATTACAAGAACGCTCGTTTCATTCACCTTTTCAAGCTGGTAATCGGCGAACTAATGATGAACTAGAAGAAATGCTTGAGCATGGCTTCCCAGGAACATTTAACTTCTCGGTAAAATTAACATCCTTGCCGTCTTCTTTATTCGATAAGGACTTTCTACTTCAGATTATGGTCGATATTGAAAAAGCTAAGCAGGCTGTCAATGAAATTGAAGCACGTCAGCGCGATATAACGAAACTCGAAAATTCCATTAAAGAATTGCACGACATGTTCATTGATTTAGCTCGACTCGTTGCAGCTCAGGTAGAAAGAATATTGAAAATGTTTGTCGAATCGTTCAATTGATTGTACTTGTCACTCTTCTCTATTCAAAGGGTGAAATGATTGATAACATTGAACACAATGTTTCCAAAGCTACCGATTATGTCAATGATGCCGTTGAACAAGTCTACATTGCACAAGAAGCTCACAAATCAGTTATGAAAGTAGGTGAAAATGAATACTAACAAAAATCTCTCGTTTTTTATTTAGAAAAAATTCATCGTGTGCATCATTTTAATTGCTGTTGTTCTGATACTTCTCTTGATTTTTGCTGCTTATTTCACAACTCAAAGAAAATTATTAGGCAAATGAAATATCTCGATAGATATTTGTGTAACACAAAACGTAGTGATTGTCTTTTCTAATTTGTCGCTAAATCTTCTCGTTGTATTTTTAATGATTCTTTTTTTTTCATTTCAGCATAAACATGTTTTTGCTTTTGCGGTTCAGAAGATATCAGTTGTAGCTGATATGTGAAAATAATTGCAGGTTGATTCAATAAATAATGTATATCAATCGCCACAATCGAGTCATTTGAGCTTTCATTCAACTGAAACGAAACATTTCCGCAGGTGAATCATTGCATTGAAAAAAAAACATGTTGGCATATCATGTACCGACGTCAGTCAGACACACTCCTACATCGAATTGCTTAATGAATTAAAAGCATATCGAAGGAAATATTTCTTCTTGTTCAATCTTATTACAGTAATTAACTTTATCGTATGGTAAACACACCGAACAAAAACCGTGCATGACTTTTGCATTTTTTTTTTGAAATAGTAACATTTACGAGATCCTTTCTCGACGAATTTCAATAAAACTCACCTGATTGAAGTCCTATGAATAATTATCCTGGTACCAGTATAATCAAACAGAACACAAACTCTAGCGCTTCGTATTTGCTGAACAACTACCTGGATTGTTTCCAAGAGTCTTCAGAGAATTCCTTACCAAACATGCGTATGCACTCAGTGGAATAAGGTGCATTTGGATATGTGATGATGTTTATGCATGGCTGAATATTTTTAATGATATAGAGCTAAGTTTAGAAACGTCTTCAGCATCTGTTGTAATATGACTACGAGTAGAAAGCTGGTTTCATTCTTATCGCAAAGCGTGATTGTTTTCTTTTTCTTTTTGTTTTTGTATAATCTCAGTTGAAATAACCGAACCATATACGATGTTTTTGATCTCCGTCTCTTTATTGAATACATACTCACTCGCGCACTCAATAGCAGCAACTAATTCATGACTCATAGATCGCTTCTGATTGGTTGAGAAATTTTATTAACAGTGCACAAATGATTTGTTTATGTATGCATTGAAGAAAAAACTGATGCTGTCTTCAATGGCATCTTATTACGAGTAATCTCAATGTACTGTGATTTTTTCGCTGGAGATCAAATAATGATTCATCAATGTTTCTCTTTTTTTTCTCTATAAAATAAAGTGACTAGGCGAGATGGATGTCGTCAAATGTTTCGATTATTTTTCAATAGAAAGAGTGTCACCTATAGAATTTTTTCTTGTTGTTTTTCTTATTGTTGTTGTTGTTTTGGGGTTTCTTTGCAGATTTTCAATCAGATGTATAAACTTTTGAAGCATTAATACCCATATTCCATGACGAAAGATCGATTGCCCGCTTTACGAGCGGTAAGTGAATTTGCCTTCAAGGAGAAATTTTTTTTTCGAAAAAATATCATTTTTAGGCCCAGAATACTGAGGACAGCGATCCTGATGCTGCCTATACTGCTATCAATATGGAAGATAACAGTCGATTCATGTCCGACTTTTTTGCTCATGTCGATTCACTGCGTACGAATATCGATAAAATAAGTGAATTAGTGGATGAAGTCAAACGTCTTCATTCCACGATTCTCGCGGCACCACAAGCCGATGATCGGACGAAAGAAGAGCTCGAAGAAAAAATGGCCGATATCAAAAAATTGGCGAATGGTGTTCGACAAAAACTGAAAGGTAAGTGTTTCCCAAGAGAAAAAAAAGAGTTGAAGTTCGACGAGACGACGAAATTTCCTGATCGAACTTTTGACAAAACGAACTTTTAGCTATGGAAACTGAACTTGAACAAGAAGGAACTGAAAATGCTTGGCGTACAGCCGATATCCGCATACGAAAAACACAGGTGTCATTTCTATATCTGTAGTCAGTTTCGGTGTTGTCTCCCTATTATTTCTTTTGATTTTCGTTGTTGTCTTGTGACATTATTGTTTGTTGTTTTCCCCCTTCTTCTTACAGAAATGGAACAAAATCAAGAGCAATCTCAGACATCGTCGAGCAAAACTCAAGCACAACTACGAATCGAAAAATCACAGGTAGTATATACAGATCAATTCGAAACCAACAAGCCGATACGACACATTGCAAATCTTTCCCCCTCTTGTTCGATGTTTTATATATTCGCCTTTGTTTGAACAAGATTTTGAGATATAACCAATTGTTTTTCCTCGTTTAGCATGCGACATTATCACGTAAATTCATCGATGTAATGAATTCATATCGAAATGCTGAGATTGAGTACCGAGAGCGATGTAAAGCTCGTATTCAACGTCAACTTGAAATCAGTGAGGAACTCTCCCTATTGTGTCGTGTCAAATATCTATATGCTTTTCGATGTTGACTTGTCTGTCTCGTTGTCTATTTATCTTTGTTAGTTGCATCATAATTTGAAAAGATTCAATCAAATTATGACTGATTATCATCTCGCTAAACGAAATTATCTCGAAGGAAGTAAAAGAAAGTTAAGAAAACAAATTGAATTGAGTGAGTTTTCGAGATTCTTTCCTTTCGATTCTGCAAAGTCTCGGTTTTTTGTTTATGTGTTGTATGTTCATGCTTTTGATGTTGTTTTGCATTTATGTTGTAGTTATGTGTATTAACACGAACGTTTCGTGATGTGATGAACGATTATAATCAAGTTCAGTTGGGTTACCGACAAAAGTGCAAAGAGAGAATACAGCGACAGCTTGAGATCAGTGAGCTCATGTTTTCTTGTTCTTTGCTCTAATGATTGTTGTTCGAAAACGAACCAAGCAAGAACGGATGAATTTAACTAAATTTGATGTATTTAGCCGGAAGATCAGTAACTGAAGGAGAAGTCGAAGAAATGTTGGAATCAGGTAATCCAGCAGTATTCACACAAGGCGTAAGTGTTCGCGAATTGGACAAATATCATCGACTGTTCTGCTTTTGTACTGTAGATTATGGTTGAAACAGCGCAAGCTAAACAATCCTTAGCGGATATTGAAGCTCGGCATGGTGATATTATGAAATTAGAAAAGAGTATCAAAGAACTACACGATATGTTTATTGATATGGCTGCACTTGTTCAAACACAGGTAAATCTTTCTTTCCTGATGATGTCATCAACGATCGATATTTTATTTAAGGGTGAAATGATTGATCGAATCGAATACAATGTTGTACAATCAGAAAATTTCGTCAAGGCTGCTAGTACAGATACGAAAAAAGCTGTTAAATTCCAAAGTGCCGCCCGACGGGTAAGTGTTCATCTTCGTAGAGTAGTTGAATGTGTTTGTAAAACTGCATGGTTCTTCGGGTCTATCCGCTTTACTCTAACACGTAAATACGCTTTGTTGCTTGTTCACACTACTAATTTAACGCGCTCTTCTCATCTGATTTATTCTAACGTATCTACGCTCATCTATTATTCATGATTTAACTGATCAATTTGGGTTACTAGTCATTTATCATCAACCGTCTATATCATTAATCTTATTTAGAAAAAAATTCTGCTTATCATTTGCCTGATTGTAACAGTCATCATTATTATCCTCATAATTGTCATTTATTTCGTGGTTAAAAGTAAAACTACTGACAATTCGTCAGCAGTTACTGCAACTCCAGGAAAACGATAGTTAGACAAAATCTACACACATATACAATACGCTCTGACATACTAACGGCATGGCTACATATTCATACACATATCTAAACACACGAGAAACTGTTATCTAATATGTACAAAACTTCCTTTTATCTTTTTTTTCATTTTCAAGAAATTATTTATTATTATTGGGATTGTTGCTGGCGTCCTCATTATATTGGTGATTATTTTAGCAATCGTTTTCGGTCGTTCGAAATAGTTTCTATTTTCAATAATCTCCTTTTGATTTTTCTTCCAAAAAAAAGCACAGAAGTGTATGTATATGTACACATTTCCAAGACCGTTGATCGGCTTGTCCAATATTTTTCTTTATTCGTTGTTTTATATTCGCTACGAAGAAAAAAAGCACGCGGCGTTTTTTCGATTTTTGTACAAATTTACACATTCATGGTCTTTCTATCGTCCTATTTCTAATATGCTTCTGTTTTGTGTTGTTTTCTCGTCTATGTTTGCATGAGACTTCGTATCTTATTCATATATTTCGATATTTTCTCGTCTCGTTCTTTTTCTCTCACACATCGCTTGTTAATTTGTTATGTTTATTGAATTACACGCGTATTTATATAAAGATAAAAGAAAATATAGGTACACCTCACTATATATACGTGTGTATGTTGTATTGTCACGTGAAAAGCATCAAGAAATCAATGTAGTTATCACCGGCTTTCGTTATGTACGAAAAAGATAGATTTATCATTATCTCAAAATCATTAAATATGATTTTTCTTTTGTCTTTGTGTCGTTCATATGTCTTCCGGTTCGATGCCGATGAATATTGAATTATACTTCTTCGTTCTTTCCTCCTCCTCCTCCTCGTTTCGTTATTATTACCAAGGGACAAAATGATGTAAACACTTGAAAACTAGCAAATCGTATTTTTTCTCATAGAAAAAATGTTGCTTACTCACTGTCGCTGGAATCGTCTCAGCGTTATTATTAGTGATCATAACGGGTCTCGTTCTCAATGCACTTCGATAAATGAAAAGTTCATGTATGAAAATAGCATCCAACTATGCACTGGATCGACTCGATTTTGCTCGCATTTGTGTTTGCATCCTATATGTTGTCTCGTTGTTTGTGATTGAAAATTGAAACATCATTGCGGAGCTTTGTTTTTAGAAAAAAATCATTATCCTCATCTGCTTGGCTGTTATCATCGTTATCCTTGGATCCATGGTTGCTGGTTGGCTTGGTCTTAAAAGATAGCGTAAGTTCAATCAATCACGTCAGCCTTCATTTGTAATCAAATCAGTCATCGTTAATGAGACTAAATAAAGTTGAAAGAAGAATATTCAGTTGTGACGTTGAATTCCGTTGTATTTATGATTGTCCTATAGCTATTTTTTCCTTAGGACCGACCTATATGATCATATTATAACAATATACAACCATGTACCGATTCAAATTTATACATATATATCTTACAAACAAATAGTTAATTCTTAGTTCTTAATCTTTCTCTTCAATATGCAAAAAGAATTGTTCTTTTTGTTTTCTTTCGTTTTCCTTCTTTTACGTTTATGTAACAGTGGCTGTCTGTGCATTAGGATGTATTAAATGTTGAACAATTCAATCGGTTATACGTATTGAATACATATAGTGGAAAAATTCATAGAAAAAGTCTCTCTCGCACACACACAAATACATACAGTTTTATGTTGCTTCTTGTCTACGTATATGTCATGTCAGTCAAGTCAGATGAGTGGACGTGTTTCGTTTCAATCCTTATGATTCGAAGATAATTCCAGTTTTAATTTATTTGGATAATTATGCAAAACAAAAGAATCTATATACACACACATATATATGTATATCGAGAAATATTCTTGATGGTCGCACTTTTATGCCTTTTGCGTGTGTGCACACATGCGTGCCCTTTTCTAACATGAATGTTTTTGTTTATTTCTGTGTTTGTCCGTTTTTTTTTAATCACACGTGTATTACTCTCACATAGATTATTATTTTTTTCCATGAGCAAAAAATAAAAGTCGACGACTACATCACAAATTTAGATGCATTCAAAGTCTCGTGATCTTTTTATTGAATGAAAACGGCATGTAGACTAAAAATCATGTTGAAAAACAAAAACAACAAGTTCTTCATTTCTTTCTTTTTTTTTGTACAAATGTATATGTTCAACTTGACTTGATGAATGGTTCAAGCCATTTCTCATGAGCTGAAATTTTAGCGTAAACACCTGGTGCCGTGCTTGGAGTGGTTGCTGCACCATACGATGTGATACCAAGAACAACCCATCGACCATCAGATTGACGAACAAGTAAGGGACCACCGGAATCACCACTCTGAAATATTTGTGCATCTATATAATCGATTTTCTTTCAATTTCGGCTTACCATTGTATCAGCTAATTGATTGTAATCACCGGCACAGATTTCTGTATTGGGATCGAAAACACTGCCATAAGCACGACGACATTGATAGTCATCGAATATACGGACTTCAGCTGAAAAGAAAGATGGATTAACTTCGATTATCAAAAGCATATTCAGATGTTATCCTTCGATAAGGGGTCATTTTTGTGACCTTTTTCATGTATGATAAACACTGATGAAATAAACTTGATATGGAAGGAAGCTTGTCATCACCATCAGTTCTACAAAGATGCTTTCTTCCCTGGCGTCATATTCAAGTTCTTTTCATTGCTGTTTACTTGTTAGTTTTTCTCATTTAATGTTATCGGACACTTCAATGACATACTCAAAGATTAATTTCCTTATCTTCGATTGTCGAAAGACAAGCCGGTAAAATTCGATTATCGATAGGATCTATTTCACGACAATGATTTACCTTGTTGTAAAGTGAAACTTTTAAATGTATTGGTTATGCTATTTTGCGAACTATCACCCCATCCGATGATAGTACCAGTGCGATTGACGAGATCTCTTCCTTGGCCAATAGTTGCATAGGGCTGATACGGTAAACAAACCGAATTGATTCTCGGTCCATAAAGAACAGACTTTGTTAATTTAAGTATCGCTAGATCGTTTTTGCAGCAACTTTCGAATTTCGGATGACGATGTATGGCACTTATCGAATAGTAATTCATTGGATTTAGTTTACCAAGTATTGAATGTACACCGATGATTGCTTTCATTTCGCTTGCTGTTGTTTGAGTCAGACAGTGTGCAGCAGTCAGAACAGTATTTTCATTGATAAGTACACCTGCACAGCTCCAGCCTTGACGGGGACTAGTAAACAATGATACCATCCATGGCCTATAAAAAGAAGATATTCGTCATGAATGATAATCTCCTTGGATTGAATTCATACCATGTATGCCAAATAGCAGTATCACCACCTCTGATTTTTGAAACAATAGCTGCTTGTTTGTGATAAATAGCCGGTTCGTCATCTGCAGCATAGCCACATCCGCGTGAAGTCGTTTCATGATGAGTCGCCTCTGAATGTCCCATGAAGAATGCTCGAAAACGGTAGAAAAGTTCCAAAAGATAGTCCTTGATTGTTGCTGCCGTTTGGGAGATTTTATCACCTACTTTATTTAAAAACTGTCCTAAGTCAGACGTCGGTGCTGCTTCGATTTGGATAACACCATTGAGAAGAAGGATGAATAGGAGAAGACTCATACTTCGAACTGTACGAGACATGATTATGAAAGACTATGTCTCGTTCTTTCTCTACTTATACTTTCTCTTTCTATCTATGTATCTCTCTCGCTTCTTTTTCTCCCCGTAGTAATACCATCTGCCATATTACGCATAGATAACCTAAGCAATTCTTTTTCTGTTATCAAAGATCATAATATGATACATGATGAATAATGGCGAAGAAGAGGAAAACGGAGACGAGCATCAGAGCATGTAAGAAAAAGAAAATCTGTAACCAATGCGAAGTTATTCAGCTGACGTAGGCGGGACGAGTTTATACATAGTATAAACAGTTCTTGCTTTTCATACGTGCTCAACCGCATAAGGCATTAATCATCATATTTATATCCGTGTCCAAGAACCAGACCAATTCACGGAGAGCTTAAAAAAAACAGAATAGCATTTTCCTGTCGAACTTCTATAAACCACGAGAGTACTTTCAAAGCTGTATATACGTAAATTTATTTCATTTCTATGGCACATGGCATTCTCATTCGACAAAAAAGAGAAACGAGGAAGCAAAACAATGAAGAGAGAGAGAACAAAATTAACGGCTGTAAATTACACGTAATTAAAATGAAAACAATTGTAGTTTTTTCTCGACTTTCTCCCATTAAACATCCAGAAAAGCTTAAATCTACGTCTCGGAACGATTTTATAATATATATATATATATATAAATACATGGCTCAAATAAACAAGCAAAGTTATGTGAAGTCATTCTGTAGATGTTATTCATGTTTGACTAGATCGTTGTGTAAAAGTGAACTTTCAACTAGTTGTATGTTTAGTTGTGTCATTCGTTACTTTTTGTTGTTGTTGTTGTTGTAATTGTAAATAAAATGCTTGAAATTGTTGGAATATTTCTTGTTGGTTTGCTGTTGAAGGATCGAAGAACGGTGATATGGCATAGAATGGAATAAACATTGACGATGCTGCTGCTGCTGCCGCTGCTGCAGCGACAGCCGGTGTTGTAGTGTCAGTCACGGAAGCAGGATCAGCTCCAGCTGATGGAGTTTTATTACGTTTCAATGATGACAGACTCACAGGTGTGTGTCGTTTGCGTTTCGAGCATAAATTCAATGGTTGTTCATTGGATTGTTTCGATGAAATTGAAAGATCTAATGGTTTAACATCGTCACTATTGAATTGAACATTTAAATTACAATGTGTAGCTGGTGGTGGTGACGATGAAGTCCGTGATGATGTTTTCGTATGTTTAGTCTAATCAGTAGAAAAATGAAGATGCAAGAAAAAGCTTTTTTCAATTAGCGCCTTACCGAATCCTCATTCGACATACTGTTCGAATCATTTTCATTATTATGCATATCTCCGCTGTCAGATATCGTTGATTTCGTTGATGAAGTTTTCATTGGATTATGCAATGATGAAGGAGCAAATTTATATTTTTTGATGCAAACATCACAACGACAATCACCACGATGTCGAATGTTAGTTGAACGAGGCGATGAAGAACTAACAGAAGATGATGAAGATGACGAAACATGATTTGTCTGAAATAAAGCAAGCATTCAATATATCATGGTTTGAATCATTCTTCTGTTGAATATCTTACATCATATTTTTGAGAATTCTCATTTTCATTATCACTTCCGTCACGTGAGTCAAAATCAGAATCAAGTTCTAAAAGAATATACATTTGTTCAAATGATATCAATCTCAAATAACCGCATACCAGTTATGGTACCATCATTATTGAAAACGATTCGTCGATTGCTGCGAACAATTCGATTGATCGATGACACACTTGGTAGTTTATCGGCTGGACATATGCCCTCTTTCTGTAGACTTTCTCGGATTTGCCAGGCAAAGATTTGAGGATTATTGCCTTTGTATTCTCGAATGCGCCGAACAACGTCTGGTGTTGCCACTTTTGGCTTCGAACCGCCAATTAATCCCGGATGAGTCGTACCAAATAAACGATACCTATTCAAAAAAAAAGAAATTCAAGTCGACAAGTACTCCTCAATGAAGAATAGGTTTTTTTTAAGTAGTACGCTATGGTTAGTGACCATCACCATGAGCTGAATTTCTTACACTATGCGCAAAGAAGAAGAGACAAGCGTCTAGACAACATTTAGAAACAACTGGGCATCAAACATTCTAGTGATCTTTCCTACAACGTACCGTTTTAATATTTTACTAACACAGCCATGTGACACTTGTAGCTAGAAAAGCAAACATCGGTTAGAAGGGTAAACTAGAATCGATCAACGTTACTTGACGACTTATTTCACATGGTCGCACACCGTTTTCAGCTAAAGCAACGATTCGCTCTCGTGTATCGGTTGGTAGGGGCCGACCATTGATAAATTCTCCGCCAAGTTGATTCATGGACGAGGAACAAAATCGATTTTTATCTATGGAACGAAGCAGACACAAGAATAAATATACAAAATATCGAACTATGAGTACTCACGTCGTTTAACACCGTTGGAAACGTTGCTCGATGTATCTTGAAAGTTTTTATACGCTAAAAAATCAAATAAATCAATTCGATTTCATGGTTACGGTAATCATATTTATCTAACGTACAATTTCCTGTTGTTGCGTCTGATTCATTGTCGATACTGTCGTTCTTTTCGTCACTATTATCAGTAACGTTTGTCTTGTCATCATTATTATTCTGATCAGTCGAATGAGTATCAGTCATTGATGTATCAGCCATCATCAAAAAATAAAACCAGAAAACGAAAGAACTAGCAATAAATGCTTGTCATGATCTGAAACAGAGTTAATTAAGTTAAATGGATATCCCAGTCAATATTTGTTTCGACTCTTTTTTGTCCAGATTTGATTGTGCATGACTAATACGCGCTTATTTAGCTACAGCTTTTTCTCTTCTACCGTCTACTTACAATTGAGAGTTTAGTGCTGCGATTAGGGTTTTTTTTATACTTCGAATGTAGAGTGTGAAGCTGCTGCTTTACTGGCAACAGCCGAAAAAAAAATAGAAGGACATTTTTCAAGATTATAGATGCGGCTGTCGTCGTCGCCCACACTCTTCTCATTAACGATCGATTTTGTTCACGCACGAGTTCTCTTCGTTGTCGTCAGTACTGCCTTTCCTTTAACTCTTTTGCTCTCCTTGCGGCGCAAGCAGCCACGTCCATATATGAAGAACAGAAATAGTTGTAAAAAGAGAGAGACAGAGGAAAAAGAAAATGCCAGGCGTGCGTTCGTGCACTGTAAAAAGGAGAGAGACAGACACGCTTCATCTACTCGAGTAATCAGCCGCCCGGCAACACATACACATACATGCATCGATGTCTGACTACAAACTCCAGAATCAACATACTCGATGATTACCAGAATAGGAAAAAAAAGAAGAAGAAAGAGAAGAAGAAGGAGGAAAAAAACTGAGAATCGAAAAGAATTCGTACAAGCGTGACTAATCGCATGTGTAACGAAGCAAATAGCATACGATGTTGTGTGCGTGTATATGCATATGAAATGAAAGTGAGAGAAAGAAGGAGTAAAGGGAGAATAAGACAGGTTGTTTCCAGTTAGCAGTCGAATAAATGTTGTGGACGAAAACAAAACTAGTAGAGAAAACTGTGCATGTGTAATAGTGAGCAGTTTATGCATGGAAGGTAATGATTTTTCTTCGTATATGTTCTTACTTCTCATTTTCTTGCATCTACCTATATTGGCACTGTGAATAAATATAAATGTGTGTGTGTGCATGTTAGCAACGATGCGATTCAAAATGCGATCGACGAACGAGCGACACGCATATGAAGCGAGAGCAGGAGAGAGAGAGAATAGCGGCGCCGTTCGTTGTTCATCATGTGGAACGAATCTTATTCCTCTTGCTCTCTCTTCTCATTGCCAATGCTGATGCGTTTGCTCCCTCTCTCTCTCTCTCTCTCTCTCTCTTTCAGACATATCATCAAGCAGCCGTGCCCGCCCTACTTTAACCTATGAAGAGAAAAGTGCTTACATACACACTCACATACTCACTCAAACGCTCGGTCATGCGTCGTTCCACATATACGCAGAAAATGACGTAAAGCTTTTGGCTGCCTGCTAAGAGATTAGACATGTAGAACCTTGACACTACACATCACGATGATAGACAGCTCAATTAGATCGATAAATCGCCATATTCAGCGGCAATCGACTGAGAAATGAAGAAAAAAACGGCTAGAAAAATAAAATAAAATAAAATAAAAAGGAGAAAGAGATGAACCAAGAAAAGAAAACATAATTAAACGTCACACATTTACTCATGATGAACGTTAGACAAGAGAATAAGAAAATATAATGAGATGACGCGCAATGCATACTGAATTACTACGATATATATTGGTTGCTATTTGTCGTAGACCAACAATGCACCAAAATGCGATGAAGAAAAATGGTAGTGAACGAAAAGGTGATCCGCTTTAGTCCGTCATTCATCCATCTCATTCTCTCCTCGTTCTTCTTCTTCTCCTCTTTTTATATATATATATATATTACTCGCCCTATTGGCTTTGGTTCACCATTACGGTGATGAAATCATGCATTTTCTATGTACATTCTTTGCATTCACGTACAACCTATGAACATCTATACATCGATGTAATCATGTAGTCCTGCGAGCGTTGATGATGTGGTTGTTACTATCGGAGAGTTTCATATGTAAACGGCATCGGGTGACGCGCATCACGGTTCGATTATTCTTTGTTGTTGACGCTACTGAATAGCACGACTATGGTGAAAGGAATAGACGTGTGATATACGTTCTTATGCTGGAAAGGAGTGAAGAATGGGAGCGACGAGAGATGATTACACTGGGTACTTATATACGTGTGGGATGCGTACGTAAAAAAACACGCGATAGTGCCAGTGTTATAGTCTTCGAGAAGCGACAAGATGCATGATATACACCATAGCGGAAAAAAACGTGTAGTGTTGTGTTGATGAAGGCAGAACGAGCTTAAACGAACGAACCGTAGGATGACATTTAGACACCTGTATTTGTTCAAGCTGATAAGGCCATCGATGATATTCATCATGGTTGCGCTCGGAGAATTTACGTCTATTCTTACTTATTTCATTCAGGAATCTATTCGTAAAATAGTTTCTTTGCTTGAATACCTTCATTCTTTCGTCTTTTTAACCAAAGTCATATTTTATACTTACCTTCTTACCATCTTTTATTTTTATTCGTGTTTGTCTTTGTCTCTCTGCCTTTTTCCTCTCTCTCTCGCTTTCTTGATAGATACAAAACGGCATGCAGTGTGCACCAACACTCACGTCGCGTTGTCTCATTTCGTTTGTTCCGTTCTCGGCGCGGTTCGGTTTCGCTTTGCGCGCTTTTAATCTTTTTGCCCCTTCACCGTGTACGTCTATGTGTATACACGAGTGAGTGTGTATATGCTCGTTCCTCTCTTTGTGTATGTCAGCTATTGATTCTTTACAAACACACACACGCATGCGCGCTTGCGCACATACTCACACATAGAGACGATGATGGGAAGAGAGACACACCGAAAAGGTGGGTGGAAGAACGATGTAGAAGCAGAGAAGGGAAGACAGAGACAAAGACAGAAGATCACCTTCTACATACGAGTGCATATATGCATGCATACATATATAAATATTGGCACACAAGATGACTATTATGCTGTTTGTTTGATATATGACTGTTGGAGGGTAAAAGTAGTCTCGCATTTCGTTCCATTCCGATGACGGCAGAACTGACGTTGGCTCGAGAAATATTTCTACGCAGTTACGGAGAGATGGTTTTTTCCTTCTCTCCATTTCTTTCTATATCTATCGTTTATTTCTTATATTGCTTCCTCTCTCCCTCTTTTTCTTATCAATACAATAACTACTCTAACTCTCCTAGGTTTCTCTTTGCCATCATACAAATGTGCATGGATGTATAGATGTATATATATATGCATCCATCTCCAGAGACCGTGAAAATATGCCATGCTTCACTGCTATAGAAAGTTGATCGGTCGATCTAGTGCGCGTATATAAATATATATATATGTGTGTGTACATGTAAGTTCACGAAAGGCACCATATAACACAGAGATGTGAAGGAGAAGGAGAAGGAGGCTCATGCATGCATGAAAGCACGTCGTCGTCTTATCATCGATTCATCAATACTACTCGTGGAGCTCGGTTGAGTAAGAAGAGTAGCGCAGCGCGGCCGATCTAATGAGCAACGTTTCTATTTCACGCTCCAAAGAAACAGATTTTAAGCATTGTGCCCGCAAGAAATTCCATCTCAACACTGTAATAAGCATAGGAACATTCTTCTATGTCGCTCTATATATGTGAACATGTGCATATGGCATGATAGAAAAGAAAAGGTAAATCGACAGCGAGATGCAAAAAGAATATAATGATGACTAGTGTAATCACTTCCAGTATTTCAATGGATGACATGCATTTGATGAGCATCAGTCAAGTGCATGCGTGCCGTATTCGTGTTCATTTCGATTATAAGACTGACTATGTATGAGTGTGTGAAGATGATGATGACAGCCGAATCATGATTATCGTACTTCCCGAGTGACTTAATGAATGAATCAATTGTAATAGATGTATCTCAGTAATAATGACATACACGGAAGAAACGTCATCGGATATTGCACTCTACCTACAACTGCGCTGTGCTCATGTCTCGCTTGTGTCCGTGATGAATCAATTGGCCATTTAAACTGTACACGAAAAGAAATATTATTTTCGACTTTATAACCGAGAAAAAAATGAATCTGAACTATATTATCTCAATTCGAATTGAGCAATAGTACATTTGCTATTTCATTCAATCAGATCACCATCGATGTTATGCTGAGAGTTTATGGTGCATTTTTCTAATTAGGACAATGTTCGTTGTCAATTTATAGATGTCGTGAAGAAAGCTATCGAATGGATATGCAAAAATACCAATCGATGAAAACTAGCAAAGCAAGCAAGAAGAAGATTTATTCTTTTCTTATTTCTTTGATAGAAAATGCTGAAAAGATTATTTCATTTAAAATCATGCATTCGTTTTCATCATTGTACAGCTATATCACTTGATAATCGTGCGCTAATTCAAGTTCATGGTGCTGACACATCGAAATTTCTCCAAGGATTGACTACGAACGATATCGAATTTTTAAAGACGACAAATGCTATTTATAGTATGTTACTCAATGCTCGTGGAAGAATTTTGTATGATATGATTATCTATAATCACCAAATAAACAAGTCATCATATTTAATTGAAATATCTCAAAACGCGATTGCAGACTTTCTTCGTCTCTTACGCACATACAAACTCCGTCGACAGGTTAACATAGAAGATGTGACGTCAAAATATCGGATTTGGTCGTTGTTATCTTTACAAGACGAATTTGCATCGACAACAAATGATCTTCGTGAAAACTTCAATTTCAAAACACGGCAAGGTTTAATCGTTGGACAATCCGATCCGCGACATGCAAGTCTTGGCATACGTCTGATAACCGAGCGTCAAACGCAAATTACTGATCTTGTCGATTCCTGTACTCCATCGAATGATTCCTCCATTTATAAACGATGGTTATATCGACACGGAATAGCTGAAGGAACGGAAGATATTCCGCCGGGTGAATGTATACCTCTCGAGTATAACATCGTCTTCCTCAACGGTGTTTCGTTCAGTAAAGGATGTTATATAGGGCAAGAGTTAATTGCACGTACACACCATACCGGTGTCATACGTAAGCGTCTAATGCCAGTTAAAATAGCAAACTATGAAGAATTATCCAAAAGTTCTGATAACAAAGCGAACGACTTGACCATTGTCAATGAAGAAACGAAAAGACGTGCCGGAAAATTATGTTCGTTCATTGAGCACGATGGAATTGCGCTGGTACGTTTGAATGAGTGGAGAAATTCGTTACGAATACAAAATGCTGATGTGTCGATCACACCTTCGATACCTAATTGGTGGCCACCGCTTGATGAAGCGACGAAATTGGAAATGAAGCTGGACCAATCTAGTTAAAACGGATAAATTTTCGTATTTTTATATTTGTTTTCTTTTTTTTTGTAATAAAAATGTCGATTGTTTTCTTCCCTAGTGATCGTCACGAATGGCATTAGAAAAGGATGATTCTTGTTTCGCATTCATCTCAGCATACGCATTGTTTCCACGTGATGTATTCTGACGCATATTTTCTTGCATGAAATGTTTTCGTCGGCCTTTTTTTCGGCGAACTAATAGTTCACCAGTTTTTCGAACTAAAATTTCACAATGAGCATTCATATCGATCGTTTGACCAATTTCTTTCAACGTCTCAATCAATGTGCCCAAATTCTCTGCTATCCATGTATTTCCTATAAAGAACAAACTTAGATATTCTTTCGTTTTTCAAACTGTACAGATCAATACCCGATTTTCGAGCGTAAATAATACCACCCGATGATGAAAGTGTTTCCATTTCCGGTGTGTAGACTACAGGTGTTGGAAAACAAAGTGGCGGTGGTGTATCCGTTTTCTGAGAACCGTAGCCGCAGCCCATAGGTTTTTGCTGTGAGAACGTATTCGTCATGGGCGTTGAAGTTGCATTACAACGAATTGGAGCTGACTGAACGCAGTAATTTCGATCGGTATTCCCCCAATTAGACGATGTTTGGTAGTTTGGTATGGTATACGAATAGCAATTGGAATTCAGTGGTTTTTCATTTGAAGACAGATTTGTTTTTTGTTGATTGAGGTGATGATGATGGTTATTATTTTGAAAGAGATATGTATCAATAGGCTTGACAGATTCTTGTAGTTTTGTTTCATGTACCATCGATGGTTGAGTATAGAAAATAGTTGAAAATTGCGTCAAGCTTTCCGACAGACAATAAAGCTCATGCGATAAATTCCGACAGAGTGAGCGTGTTTGATCAACTCGAAGAAATTCCGCATTCTGAATCACAATTAGGTATGAGTTCCTTGTTTCATTCAACTTGTCTTAGGTACTCACTTTGACTTGTAAAAGAAGATTATAGAAGTAATTGTTGACTGTTCGAATATGCTTGATGATGGGGCTCAAGTCTTGCCATTGTAGAGCATTCAATTGATCAATACAGGTTTGTATCGATCTCCAGATTTGAACAGGATCCAGATTTATCGTTAGTTGAAGTGTTCGATTGGGAAGAAACTCTTCAATAAGTTGAGTAATTAACATATCGAATAGAGATGCCATTTGTTTAGCATAATCACTACGTAACTGAAATAGCTGATTAAAGTTCACATTCTTATGACAGATTGTTTGAATATTGACGGTTAAATCTTGAATAAATTGGACTAATTTACTTGAAACAGATTCGATCTGTTGATCAAGCATAATATTCATTAAAAAAAGAGTGAAGTGTAACTAGTTTATCGCGCCTATGAATATTTCTCACGAAAGAAATTTATTAAATCTTTAATTCTACATACAAAAAAAAACAGAAAAGAGCACACAAATATGAAAATTGCAGAAAATAATTAATCGTCATCTGTATCCGATGAATTGAGTTGTGCTGCATTGAATGATCGAGCAGATGATTTGATTGTATCGGCGATGTCATCGTCTTCCTCATCGTAATTATTACCTGCGCTGCGAGCTTTACTCTTTGATTCATCGAAATCTGTCGAATAAATTTTCTCTCCTGTTTTCGTGCTCAACAAGAGATCTTCGTCGTCTTCTTCATCATCATTTCCATTGGACTGACGTCGTGGGCGTTGCTGTTGTTGCTGTTGACGTTTTTTTGATACAGAAGACGACGTTGATGAATCAAAATCATGATCGGAAACTTGATCGACTTCGTCGTAGATCGAACTTGGTTTGTTGATAACAACGGTGGGTTTTAAAATAATACCTGGCGGTGAATGAGTACGAGCTGATGATGATGACGATGACCGATTTCTCGGCAGTCTCCTTTGTTCAAATGCTGCTGTTGTGAAACGACCTGTACCTTCCATAGGTGGTTCTCGACGTGGTATATTCCGTTCATTGTCTGAACGAGATACTTTACTCTCAGTATTCAAGTCTTCTTCGAAACTGGACATATTATATTGTTCGGGCGGAGGCGAAGGCGATATGGATGGCTGCTTTCGAGTAGGCTTTTGTACTGGACGATGATGTGATTGAGAGGGTGCTTTGACTCCTTTTTCAACATCAGCTAGTGAGATTTCCTGTCCTAGTAATTCATTTTCAACTAGCTTTTGGCTTAATTCAACAGTTAATAGTTCAACTTCTTGAACGACAGTCAACAGAGCTTCGTCAAGTAAAAATTCCGACAATCTAGAAAATGAAATGGATTCTCATCTAGCATCTGAATTGATCTAATATTCAAGGATAGAATGTCTTGCACTTACCTGTTAATAATTCGACAAGGATCGAAATCTTCGTTCTTAGCAGATTCTGTTCTTTGTAAGTAACTTTGATAGTCTCGTCGATATCGTTCGATTTGTCGAATCTTTCCCGAGTCTAGGCCGATCAATCGAATCTGTCCTCGTGATGATGATGATGGTACTGTTGTCTGCTCAAATGCTTGTTTGGCTTCGGTGGATTTTATCATAAAATCCTCTAATGCCTGTTCATATGATGGTGTATGAATATGAACATTCTCTGTTAGGGGTGATGATATTGCTGGTGGCGAATCGAGTTGAAACTTGACTGTTCGTGTTTGTCGCGAATTTGTGTCACTTTCTAATCGATTTGTTCTGTAATTTTGAAGACGTTGTCGAATTTGTGACATTTCGTCTTCCCACGTAGTTATCTGCGCTTGATACACATCCATGTTTACTCGACGAGCACGTTCTTCAGGTGTTTCAAAAACTTCAATGTTAGCTGTCGATGGTAACGGCTGAATTTGTTGACCTAGTCTGGGCATTAGCATTTGTAATACTCGCCCAGTGATCTCATCGTCAGTTAAACGATTATCTACTAAAAACATGGGAACTAATGTTCGTGCTCGTTCAATTTGTTTTGATAGTTCAGCTCCATTATAGTTTGCGAGAAGTTGAGGAGCTAGTTTTACAAGAATATGATCGACGGTAAAACGTGAATGAAACGGTGTTTCAATTGATGAAGCTGATCTTATCGATGGTAATGGTGAATGGCTGCGCGCTCTAGTCTTATGTTGCATGGATATGGTTGGACGGGTAATGGATGCTGCATCAGTACGAGGTAATCGTACTGACTCAGCACTACGTGGTCGTAAGACAGATGGTACTACACGTGGCTTTCGTTGCTGCTGCTGCTGCTGCTGCTTCTTTTTTACCAATTCAGTGTAAATAGCGGGTAGAAGATGATTTGTTGGTGTCCCCGTTCGAGTTTCAGCTGTAGGTCGAGCGCGTACAGTTTTAGATGATGGCACACGAAGATAAGACGGGTCAATTTGTAATTGAGATAAACCAAGTGCGTAGTTCGTCTGAGATAGTGTCTCAAGAACAGAGAGAATTGAAGTCATAAGTTGTTGAACCGGTACATCTTGCTGTTTCAGCGGAGCTTCATTTGCAAGTGTCTCGACAGCAAGGAGAATTGCTCTATAAGCATTGAGATGACGGTGATGAATGCGAGACTATGAAAACAGAAGAGTTAAACATCGTCGTATTTTTACAGTGATACGTACTCGATTCGCATCTGGTTGAGGAATATCATGCAGTATTTGTTTGAGTTCCTGGTGTGCATTATAAATTGCACGTGAATCCCGTTTGACTCTTTCGCGTTTAAGCCGAATTCGACGTTGTTTTTCTTGTTCTGTTTCATCGATGATATTTTCTCTCGCTGGTGGATGATGTAAAATGCGTAATTGTGATAGAAGTTGATCGTGCACGTCACTTAATTCATTTTGTCTCAATGAATCTTCGGGACGAGTGAAATGAATCGGTGTTGGTGTAATCTGCTGTCGATTCGATTCGTTAGCGTACGATTTCTTAATGGGTATTGGTCTTTTCGGAGCTGATGCTGAACGCGCTGCTGGTTTTTGTGTCCGTTGAACTGGCGGTTGTGAAGAGCGAACGTTTCGCTGCTGAAACGCTTGTTTCTGTGCATTTTTTTCATCCAATTCTTTTTTCCATCGATCTTCTTTCAGTTTTCGCTGCGCTAAGAATTGATACATGTGTAGTTTATTCGCATCAATTGACTGCAGTTGTGGCGATGTTGTCGATGGATAGTTCTTGCGAGGGATCGTTTGCTGCAGAAGATGCGGAGCTCGACCGAATGAGAACGGAGCTGGATGTGTAACATTGATGAGGTTGAGTGGAGAAACGAAAGCATTCTCATGAAATTGTAGATAATTGCGTGGCAAATCACTGCTAGTTTGGGTCGGTTGAAACATATCTGGATCTTTTGACTTTGATCCAAACGGAAAGGCGAAAAGAGAAAGAATGAGAGCATAGGTGTTGTCTCGACGACGAACATTCAACGGCTAATGAAACATACATGCTGTAGAGGACGCTTTTACTTACAACACCCTAGCACGTTGCCTGCACGATCATAATGCGCAGAACAGTTTTCGTTCACTTCAGTTTCAGCTACGTTAGACGAGTATATCTTTCGAAAATGAAAACAATTATATTCATTACACACTCTGATCATCTGGCATGTTCACAATCAGTGATTTAAACTACCGGGCGTTTCCGAAGCATTATTAGTGTGTGAATCTTCGTATAAAGCACGAAAAAATTTGATTTTCCTGCTGGTTCCAAAAAGTTAATCTCTGCACAGCCTTGTCATACTGACTTTTCGAAGAAACAAAAATGTTCCATTGGTCTAAAATAACCTACGTATCACGCATAACGGAAAATGATTCATCGACGATGAAGATGAAGAAAAACAAAAAATCATTATATTGTCATACGAAGTGTCTGTTGAACAATTAGCGCGATTTTTTTTCAAGCCAAATGGCATCGAACTCACCGTATGCAGATCTCGTCGATCGACCACTTTTTGGTGAAACCAGATCTCGAGTAAAAAAACATGAAACATTCTTACTATGAACCGCAAATTCTCTCTTTGTACTTTTCAGGACCGAATATCATTCATGATCATCACAGCAGTTACAACTGTCTTCGTTCTAGTAATTCATCTTTTCTCAATTAGCGAATGTCTTTTGAAATTCTTTCTAGGCAACCTTTGTTGGCATGTTTCTTTTCAAACACATCAGTGGGACTCATATTTTTCTGAATATCTGTCTTATACTTCTACTTGGCTCGCATTTATGTCTAGTAAGTTATTCGAGCAAGTCCCAATTTGATATAACTATCGCTTTTTTTGTCAGGCATTTTGGTACCGATCAGGTGAACTAGAACCACGTTTTCGAAATATGCTATTTTTCAATACCGCTATTATTATTTTATTATGTATCTGTGCTAATCTGATAATTAGCGGAAAATAAGTTTTATATCGACTCCAATGTAAATATTGTCTGTGTTCGATAATTGAATTGAAATAAAACAATCTAGTTCGAGAGAAACAAGCTTTCTATAGATGATCGATAGGCTCGAAACGGTCATGTTAACTTGTGACAAATTAAACATACGAATATTGTCTTTGGTTGAATAAAATCAAAATTGTGTCAATATTCTTCGAGAAAATTTTCATCGTTACTGAATCATAATGCTAAGCATAACTAATTCTGTTGTTTATTATCGAACGAAAAGGCGGCAGTAAAATGAAAAATCATACTACTACAAATCACTGACTATGTATGTTGAAAACCGGGAGTGAAGCAAAAAAGGATCGGCTAAAATAAGGTCATGTATATTGATTAATGATTTAATCGGAGGTTGTTGCTTTGACAGCATCGTTTTTCTCTTCGACCAATTCCTTTTGTGTTTTCTCAATCATCTCACGTGACCAGTCGTCGATTTTCAATCCTTGAACAATTGAAATTTTGCCATCTTTGATTTGAATTGGATAGCTGAAGACCAAGCCCTTTTCAATGTCGTATGAGCCATCACTGATTACACCCATTGAAACCCATTCGTTCTAAAACGAATTGTTTTTGTTTAGAAGAAAAGAACATATTGACAAATTGAAGTTTTAACTTACATCTTTTGTTCCGTTCCACCAATCACGCATGTGATCGCAAATGGCTTTAGCTGCTGACATGGCACTTGAAAGCTTACGTGCAGCAATAACAGCAGCACCACGTTTTTGTACAGTCTAAAGAAAAGATACGATATGATATGAATAGTTCCAAGTTTGTTTTCAGGCTTACTGAGATGAAATCGTTCTTAAGCCAGTTGTCATCTTTGATAGCATCATAAACTGGTGTATCTTTGCCATTAACGTTGACGGTAGCTGAACGAACATCAGGAAATTGTGTTGATGAATGATTGCCCCAGATGATAACATTCTTAACATTTTCAGGTGAAACTTTCAAACGGTTGGCGATTTGAGCTTTAGCACGATTGTGATCTAAACGTGTTAAACAACTGAAGTTTTCTCTTGGAATCGATGGAGCATAATGAGCAAGAATGTAGCAGTTGGTATTGGCTGGATTACCAACGACGAGAACCTAATGGAAATATATACGTAGCGAAGCGAATGGCGGAATGTGTCTATTACCTTGACGGATTTCTTGGCGAATTTATCAAGTGCAGTTCCCTGTGATTTGAAGATTTTTACATTGGCATTGAGTAAATCTTTACGTTCCATGCCTTCTTTACGTGGCATAGCTCCGACAAACAAAGCAACATCAACATCCTTGAAAGCGGTTTCTTCGCTGTCAGTCGGTATTGCGCCTAAATGAGAATAGTTCGATAAGTTTATTCGATAATCTGATCTTACCTTTAACTAAAGGTAAACTTGTATCTTCGATCTCCATAACTACACCTTGAAGTACGCCCATCATTGGTGTAATATCAAGTAAGTGAAGAATAACAGGCTGAAAAAAGAAGAATTATTTACTTTCAAAAATGATCGATTTAGGAAGAGAAAGGTGTACTCACTTGGTCTTTGCCGAAAACATCACCGTTACAAATTTGATGAATCAATGAATAAGCAATTTGACCAGCAGCTCCAGTGATGACAATACGAATGGGTTCTTTGGTGCTCTATTTATTTAGATGCAGATACAAAAATTCGCAAATGTTCGTTTCGCTTTCTTACTGATGAAGACATAGTTTGTTACAAGTTATGTAAAAATCTTAAAGATAGATAAACTTTAAAGCAGTGAAAAAATAGGTAAATACAAGGGGTTATATATAGTAAGCAATCGACGAGGGGGATTTGTACCTAGATGGTAACGCAATGTATAAACGAGACGAGAAAGAGAAAAACGATATATGTTAGGATCATTTTGGATTGGCTGTCTGCTAAACCAATGAATGACTCAGTTTCATGCCAGCCAGTGAATGAGTAAGGAAATGGATGTACATCTGTCATCCTTCATCTGTTTATTGTTTCTCTTGGTTTTCTCATAGACAATGAACTAATGATCAATATCAATTTTATTCTCCTATTTTTTCTTCAATTATGCAGCGTAATTATTGGTCATGATCGTTTTCTTAGTCTTATTCCATGTGATCAAGTTCCCGTTGAACTTCTCGATTGTTCAATAACGACAGACTGTGTATACGGTGAAGAGCTTTCAAGTTCATGTCGAACGTTGAACGGTTCATGTTTGAACGCGAACCAGAAGCCTGTTTCATGGTTCCAACGTTCGTACATATGTCGATATTGTTATCAAGTACCATTGGATGATTTAGCTTGTACACACAATGTCGCTTGTCGTCATCATCAAAATTCCAATCGTTACAAATCCAATTGTACCATTGCTGATAATACCCAACTTTGCTTAGGTTCACGAACGTTCTATCGTAACATCGAATGTAATTGGACGAGTGGGTACAAGAAATGGAATGCCTTATTATTAAGTATTTTTGTCGGCGGTCTTGGTTTCGATCGATTCTATTTGGGACATATTAAAGAAGCGTTTGGAAAGATATTTTCCTTTGGTGGTCTTGGTATTTGGACATTGATCGATTCGGTACTTATTGCTTGTGGTTATCTAACACCAGAAGATGGTTCAGTTTATATTGAATAATAAACACATAGATGTATTTTCATTGTTTGTACATAAGTGACGGAAAGTTTTTTTTCCTATTAAAATATAGAGAAAAACTATATTCATAACAGCAATGTGATTACGCGCTCAACAATCGGAGAAAGTGAATACCGAAAACTTCGTTTATTATCGTTTTTAGATATGTCTTTGAATAATGAAGCTATTCCACGTAATAAACCATTCATACGTGAAAGTGAATCTCAACGCATACGAATGCCAATCAATGATTCTCACGTCTTGAATCTAGCTCCTCCACCTTCAACAGCTCTCCATTCTTCATCAAATGTTCGTCCGTCGGCAATTCCAGGCAACTTCAACATGGTCCCACCACCATCCTCATCAGTTTCAACATCATCCATGCTAGGCGATGCGATGTCAACTTTTAACAAGGAACGTTTACACGACGTTTTACAACAAGGTCTTGGCACATATGTATATATTGAACACTATGGACTTGTTCCCATACTAAATCATTTCTAAATCTTCTTTCATTCTTGTTCAATCAAAAGACAAAAGACAAAAGAAAAACACTAACACAGATATTCTCTTTATAATCACAAAAAGACTAGATGAAAAAATAAACCTAATATTGACAAATAACTACATTGAAGTTTCTTTCCTGTTGTATTTAAAAAAATAATTCATATCTAATAATTAATATTAAATGCTCGTACGCATCCAGCTAGATAACATGAAACATAAAATTGCGTACCAGCACGATTTGTACAAATGCCCGATGGACGTTTAATATGTTCATTCAACTTCAACGTAGTTTTATATTCACCTTTCGGTGAAAATACCTAAAAGACAAAATGGAACGATACTCTTGCGATCGATAGTTTTTACCTGTATTCGATCATTTTTACTATCAGCACTAATAATATTTCCACCGGAATCAACAAATAAACCCGACGGATCTATCAGTTGACCATTTCCCCGTCCTTGACCGCCAAATACTGTGGTGCAGCAAAATTCAAATTGATTACGAATAGTTGTACCATAGATTAAACTACGACCTAACGGAAACATCTAATTCCCTCCTATTCTAGTCACGTCAAATATTCTTACCAAGATCAGCTATGTATATATTATCATTGTGCACAGCCAGAAAGCGCGGTTTACTAGTTGTATCTGGTAGAATTTTGCCTTGAATATGACTGATATTTTGTTGTTTCAAAATTTCTTCGGACTCTTTATTGATAACAATGCGTTGTTCAAATACAAGCTGGCGACTGTCTGGATCGAATAGTAGCAATCGACTATTTTCAGCAGTTTTATTATCCGTTGCTTTGGATTCGATGGTTAACAAATAACGATCACGAAACAAAGCAATACCTAGTTAGAAGGGACATAGTTGACTTTGTTGTAGAAAACAAGTACAAACCATATAGTTGTTTGATCGAAGGATGACTGATAGTTTGTATCAAACGGCCATCAGGTTCTGTCACATAAATATGTTCTCGTTCGACAATTAAGATATTGTCACGTGCATTGCTCATCACAGCACTTGGACGATGTAACTTCATTTGCTGACATTAAAACAAAGTCGCGAAATACATTCTAAATAATGAAAACGAATGAACCATACCTGATTGCTTGAAATCGTATGTTTTAATTGACCAGTTTGAACATCAAATAAACGAACACTCTGCGAACTGCGGTGGACATCACATGAAAGTAATGTTAATTCATCGTACGAAAGACCGACACCAATCGGCAAACATGTCGTCTGTGGACCACTTTGTGGAGTGCCATATGTCATACATAGATCACCTCGTAAAATATGTCGGTCTAAAATCAAGACTGAGGAAAAGTGCAGTTATTTGAAATACAATTACTTGGTTTCGTTCCGTATTCTTGGATGAATTCATCAGTTACATGTGAATTAACAATAGCTGTTGTATGATTTAGATGTGATTGTTCCGGAATGGTAGAGAGGTTGTATTTAATTGGATGCCAACTAGTTTACGAATGAAATGACACGCTATATACATATATGCGTTTTTAGAATGCTCAAAATTTACCATGCGTCGGCTGTATCTCGGTCGGTAAAATATGGGTCCAGATAGTATTCTCGTCCCTTTTCCAGATTCCAGTTATCATTATCCCTACAAAAGTGATATTTTGTAGACAAATCGATAGTTATTTTAGCTATTATGTTTACATCGTAGGCATTGATGACATGCCATATAATTTAGGTGTATTACCAAATTGAATGGAGTCTTCGCACAATGACGTCGGTGTTGCTAGATTGCGTTCGTGGCAGAAATAATTGTCATCTTGGTTAATTACATTTGTCTTTGATGGCGGCGAACATCCATTTTGCGATATGACTGTGTTTGGATCGATATTCTCTGTTCTTACGGTCGAAAATAGATGTGGTGGAAAAGCCGCGACTGCTGATGCTGGTTTTTTCACAGACTGAACAATCTTTTCTGTTATTTCGTACTCATCCGAAAAGGATATAGTAGACACCGATCGAGGTGCCATTGATGGCGTTACATTTGTATCCGTTGGTAGTGATGCAGAAGTAACTGTTAAATTCTTCATTTGATTCATAAGTTTTGTTGTAATTGACGTTGCCGTTAATGGAACGATGGGATTTGGTATTGATTGAGATTCTGTTATAGAAGACGGTGGTGGAAGGTTGAAACTGGTTGCTGCTTCTTTCGAAATGGTACCATGATATCCATTGGTATGACCATTAAGCTTTCGCGAATCTAATACAAACAAGAACAGCGATTAGTTTTGTGGCACACGTAGAAGTATACTACCTAAATGCCCATAAATGTTCGGGATGATGTCTTGTTTGTCTACCTTTTCAATGGGTATTGTTACATCAAGATCACCATTTGATGACAAGGCGTGCACTTCAACTGGTAGAGAATTGATCTTCTGAAGATTAGTTAATACTGCTAAAATAAAGAATGAATGGCAAACGTGATTACCTACACTTTTCAATTACCTGACATGTTTTTATACATATTTGTATAACTTGTATTGTCATTATCTGCCGAAACGAAAAGAATGATGTCCTAATAGAAGCGTCTCACGGCAAGATGTTTACTTTGTTGTTGAATAATTGCCAAGAGACTTCGATGGATTGACTCAAGTGTTTGTGATGATTGTCGAATGGTATCTGGATCGATGGAAGTTAAGCAATCATCAATAGAATCCTTGAGATTTTCTAGCAAAAACAACAAGAACATTGCTCATCGAAAGGAATCGCGCGATCTGAGATAAAGTTACTGGCAAACTGCTGAATGTCATCGTAGATCAGTTCAGAATCAGGCGCGAAACGGATGAAAGTCTGTGTAAGTGACAATAAGATGTTAAATGTATCTTCTGGGCTGTTATTTATTAAAGTTCGACAATCTTCAAGAGCTGGCTGTAGAAAAGTATTAACAGCATATGCAAATGGATGAATTCTATTCAAAAACAGCAGTTCAATGGAATGGAAAAGAAAATTCCTACTGATGAGCAAGAAATCTGAATAGTAGGATTTTTGGTCGATCGAAACTTGTCGACGATGATGTATTTTGTTTCATGATTGATTGAATACAAATGAGAAACGAAACTAACTTGACTGTCTATCGTCCCTCACTTTTTTTTACCCATTTTTCGAATCCAATCGTATTTTCTTTAGTAAATCTAGTGTTTGTACTGCGTGCGACATCTTGGATGTTTTAAGTGAGAGAAAATTTTATTCAAGAATTGATAATGGAAACGCGAACAGATCCATACAGGCAGTTTTTATCAAATATCTGACAGAAAAATCCATGAAAAATCATGACACCAAAGTATGTACAACAACAAAAAAACGAAGGAAAAATTTTCATGCCCATCAAGATTTAGAATGGAATTAAAGGAGATGATGTTGAAGAAGGAATAGTCATTGATTTGGATGTATCGATTGATATTAAAGGAAGTTGTTGAAGTAGAATATGACCGTGATCAGTGTTGCTATTGGATTCTGGTTGAAAGGTTGTAGATCGATCAACTGATTTTACCTAAATAATAATAAATTGAAACGCGAAAAGAAAACTCTGTAGACAATTACTTCGAGTTTTGCGGTATCGGAAGTTTCTTTTGGACTAGGTGATAGGTTGATTGGCAGAGCGTTCAAGAGAACGTTATTTCGTTTAATTTTGTGAGGACTTTTGACAAGACGAGACATTATCCCTGTTCGTATCGGACTTCGCTTTGTTGCTGACGAATCATTGAAAGATAGAGCTTTACTGCCTGACTCATTCGTCGTGATAATTTCGCTCTGACTTGGACTTGACGTAGAAGATACTGGAAGCCGGTGAGAAGGTACATTTTCATTAGAACTTGTATGATGAGAATATGAAGGACTTGACGTATTCTGAAAAGCCAACGAAAACATTGAAGAAATAAGAATGAGAAATTTATTTTCGATTACCGATTTTTGATCCGTTCGTTGCTGCTGCATGGGTAAAGGAAATCCGCCAGATAACATCGATTGGATATCATGCGCTTGTTGTTGTTGTTCGGAATTTGTAAGAGACGATGCCATTCGTTCACTGGGCACTCGAATTAGATTTTCTTGCGAGTGCGTCTGCCGAATTGGCACTGATGGAATTTCATTTATCATATGATCTGATTGAGTACGGTGGTGTGTTTGAATATTAGACATTTCTGATTCGGATCGTGGTGTTACTGGTTGCTGTCGACGAAATCTGGCGATAACTACATTCGAATCTTCTGACTCTCCACTGTCGTTGTATGCACGAAGTTTGATTTTATATTCTCCTTCATCACGAATACAATCGATAACTGTTTCGAATTTGCCAGAATCGACGGATCCTTTGAAAACATCGTCAATGTAGATTCGATAGCCAAGAATAGGACGTTGCTCATTTAAGGGATTCGGCACCCAGTGAAGAAAGAAACTTCTCGTATCACGCTTTGATATATGTGCGCGAAGTGGAGGATGTAGAATGCACGATTTGATATTTAAACGAGATTCTAAATCACGTAACCGCCGACTGAGTGCACGGTTTTCTTCGAGAAGTTTTTCTGTTTCACGTTGGTGAGTACCGTTTTGAGTTTCAAACTAAAATATGCATAGAATGTCAACAGATTTTTTAGAAAAGAAGAGCTCTTGCATACTGTTTTCCAAAGTGCTGCCAATGCTGATGTTTGCAGCTCGGTTGTTTTCGTGAAGCGTTCGTGAAGATTGAGATATCTGAAGAGTATGAAAAATGCCCTGTTTTTTTTTTATCAAGGCAACAAAATTTCAATGACACTTACGCTTGAAGCACCGATGATCGAACTGACTCGATTGATGTTGTTAGTTTCGTTATTTCAGTTGTATTCGTACGCATTGTTGTCGTATGTTGAGTTGCTGATAATCGATTGATTGGTGCAGACTTTAATTGCATTTGATCTTCATCATCGTCGTCGTCGTCAATATTGCCTGGAAGCATTAGAATGGAATGCATTACCATAATTTAACCAACGGGATACTCACGATGTTTGTTGTCATTGGAAATGATCTGTTGTTCATGCTGGGCTCGAAGCGCAGATGGCCGTCGCTGTGGTGGGTCAGCCAAATTGAATGTATCAGAAGCAATAGTGTGACGTTTAGATCGATCTCGTTGACCTGAGACATACAGTATTTTTAATATTTAAAAGCAACTCTCTGAACCACTATAATTACGTGTGGAAAGATTTTTATTTGCACTTGGACGCATAGGAACTTGCATTGCTGTCGACAGAACTGGTCCGCGATTTGTCGTTCTTGGTGAATATCTATTAGCATTGTATGCCAATTGACCTGTCGCTCGTTTTGGTTGCTGTGGATTAGTTGCCGTTCGTGTTCGAGATATACTGGTTTCATCACCTGAATGATTGTCAATAGGATATTGATTCAATTTCGACTGAAACATATTTTGATCGAGTGGTTTTATTGGTCGATTGTCGTAATCACTGTAACGGGAGCTGTTGTGCTCATCGTGATGGCTAATCGAGCGAACGTATTTTGGACTCGGCGTTCGCATTTGTTGATCAGAATTAGAAGCATCGGAAGCTGATATTTTTCGTTGACCGTTTTGTTGAATAGGTTCATTGATCGTTGAAACTGATGATAATGGATTTACTTTTCGAAACTCAGATTCCGATATAAGCAGACTTTGTTGTAGCTTAGATTGTTGATCTGAAGATATTCTCCGGTGACATTCGTTTCAATAAATCGAAAAGAGCGTCTCACCTTTTGCTAATGTTTCATTTGCATCCTTCAGAGTATCCGATGTTTTCGTAGAAATTTCATCGATATCGTTATTATGCCGATATAAATCCTGTTGAATCATGATCCTTGACAGGTGTAGATCATCTCTCTGCAAAAGCATACATCAATAAATCATTTAGGAATTTCAGTATGAAGAAAATTTACTTCATCGGCATCAGTTCCACAAACTTTGATTAAATATTGAACTAGTTCCAAATGATCTCCGGGTCGAAATGACCGTCCTTTTCCTTGACTCAATAACCATTCTGCTTTCAAACTAAATAAACGGTTCATTAGATAGATCCCTAGTACTCTAGGTCAGTTAAAGGTCAACCTTTCTTTTCTAGTAATAAACGTTCCATCAAGATTTTGAACCCCTAAACACCAATTGAGAATAAACGGACGATAATCAAATGGTTGATGAGAGCCGTATCGATCATTGGTGACAAATAAACATGGATTGTCATGTATATACAATACATTCAGATCGATGAATTGCGATAGATAAGACATCTAGGGAATGATAGAAACATTGAGCGTCAACAGTGAACATATGATGGTCTGTTATTACTTCGCTTAGATCTTTGAGTTCATTGTCAGAAATAACAAGTGTATGAATGGATTTTGGCCAATGTCGAGGGACAGACACCAGTGTGTCAATAAAGTTTTGATGTAAATTTAAGTACTAGAACGCAACCATTTTATTATAAGCAATTTCAATTAGTTGGTTCGAAATGCGAGATCTTACTTTGAGTGTAGTCAGATGCGACAGGTCTTCGATGAGATGAATCGAATTATCACTCGCATCCAGTGATTGTAATGAATGACAAGTATTTAATACACCTATGCTGTGTATATTATTACTAGCGATATTAAGCATAACAAGATTTGGCAGGGATTTCAGCGCTAAACACAGAAATAATGCCATTTTACTGAATGGTAGACATGGAATGTTGACTTACCGTCGATCGAATCAATAGAATTATTCGACAAATTCAATTTCTGCAGAGTTCGTAGACGGCCAATTAAACGTATATCAATCAGTCGATTATGAGATATTGATAACTAAAATCACATGAATGTTCCTAGTAGACTGCTGAATAAAATATCTTTACTTGGATCAGATGTGTGAGAACATCTAAATGTTCGACTTTCGTTATATCGTTATGGTCCAGTAGGACAACGTTGAAATTAATATTGTTTGGAAGTTTGTCAATTTTTCGTAAATTTTTGGATGACAGATCAAGACGCGTCAAATGTTGATCAGATAAGCGATCATCAATGGAAAAATTCAAAGGTTGATAGATTCGATTTGACATAGTTGTTGATCTGGGAGACATAGGTTCAGTTGGCCAATGGATAGCTGTTGGTTGTTCTTGCCGTGTTGGCACTGGATGATGCTGAGCGATTTGCATTTGAAATAGTTTGAAACTGAAAAAATCACGAGAATATTCTACATGACGATTGATGCAAGCAGCGTGGGAGTATAAGAATCTGTTTGGCAACGATTGAGTAATTGATTTATTTTCTCTTTAGTCATCTGCATATCTTTTTTCTTCGTTCTTTTTCTCCTCTTCAAAGTTCAGTTCTTTGTTGTAGTCATTTTTGTAAGAGTAGATAACCATAGCAACGGTGAAATTCTTAATCATAGGACTAGTATATCGTTGATATTGGATAAAAACTTCTAAGGCTTCGATAGAAAACATAATTTCGAATGCACAATTCGGGTGAATTCTAAATAATAGATGACACTCTTTATAATGAGACATCAACAACTGCCATCTATGGAAGTAATACTTATAAGAAGCAATCACTAATACAGTTATGAATGGTAAAATTCCTTTGATGAAATCAAAAGAAATGTGAGACATACGCCGATGAAATTCTCCAATTCAAAAAGGAATTCCATTGAAGATCTCAGCATGAATAAACGAGTAAGATTTGGTGATTTTCATTCACTTATCAACTATCCTAACTTGAAATATTTTGTAAATGAACAGATCGATTCATTTTCATTTTTATTTGATTGATGAAGAAATAAAGAAAACAAGTAGCGCTCATCCTTTGGATTCGCTGACCCTTTTCTGAAAGAATTGTCCCAGTGCTGACCACATTCAAACACTTTGAAAGACAACTAAGACACTGCGATTGCTACTATAGTCCTCAACTGAACCATGGCATTATGTCATACACTAGAGCGAATAGAAGACAAAGATTGTTCTTTTTCAAGAACCGAACCGATTAACTGTTTGTCAGTGAGTAATTCTCGAGAACTAACTGTGTTGACTGAAAACGCCATCCCCCAATGGCTAGTCGTTTGTCAACCTCTCTCCGGTTGGCCACTCACGGCTAGCCGTTGGCACATATACGATTAGTTTCCCATTTTCACGCCGAACAGTTGGCCCGCTCATAACTGATCGGTTTCTCATCCGAGATATTGAAACTTTACATAATAGCGTGATTTTTGTCACAGATTCTACTCTTCTTTCCACTTGCGGAACTCGATAATTGAGTGGTCTCGTTCTCAAAAAGAGTATTAGTTAAATTTTTTTAAAGATCATTTAAGCTATCTGCGTCTTTCAACTCTCATTTACACTGAGTCGGTCTGGTACCGAAGCTGTCAAAGTTCGACATAACTGTGCGATTTACAGGACATTTTCTATTACTCTTTTCAATTTAAAGAGCTGATAATCTGCAGGACTTATTCTCGAAACTCGAAAAACATCAGTAATATTCGTTAAAAAATCATTGACATAAACTGAGACTCTTACAAATCTCATCTCTCAAGTAGTTTTTGAAACAAACGTCTAGTCGTTCGTCGACCTCTCTCCTGTCGGTCACTCACGACTAGCCCTTGCCATCCTACCTCTGTTATGCCTTTCACATTTGACTAACTTTTAAACTGAATAACTGTACTTCATTTCATTGTGGCTTCGAAAGTGCTGATCTTCCATCTATTTGATCCTGAAAAGAAAATAGATAAAAGTTTTATTTTATTATTTGCTGTGAAAAGAACACGCATCACAATGCATCCTATGTTTAGAAGACACAAATGGTATTAAGCTTATATCACTTTTTATGATTTCTTGGACTAGAAATATCATGATGTATGGTATATTAAATCTTCTTCTGTAAACTCCTAAACTACTCTATTGGTCCACATCACATCCAGCAGTAGCGTTGAAACCAATACCTTCTACAAAAGATTTTAGGACGATAGAGAAAAATATTTCTTCTGAAAAAAAACGAAAGAAGCCGAAGGTTCGTGACTAAGAAAAAACTAACGTCATTATAACGAACTTGAGAAGACAAGTGCCCGTGATATGATGGCACACTTTATTTGGCTTCTTCACGTAACAAGCTCCTGTTTAGCTATGAGATACACGCTTATATAGGCAACAGAGAACAATGGATATCAGCCAAGTGCAGCGGTCATGCTAGTGTCGACGAGTCAAGGTCGCATACAGGTCAGAATATAGCAACATATCCCGTTACAGTCATATTTGAGTTCTTCGACCTTGATGTCCTTCGGTCAACCCTTACTCGACAAAAAATTGTTCTCCTTATTTAATTAGTCAGTTGGCTAATTAGCTAATTAGAATTTTAAGAAACTAACATCAGATTCGAAATCCTCGACTCCAATTACCTTCCATCAATCGTTTTCTAATAAGTACGGTTAGGTTTTCATTGATTTATAAAATGCTGCAATCTGATTGGATTATGCAAACAAACTTTTAGCATTTTAACGACCGTATCTTATATGCTATAACTCTTTTTGTTGCAGAAAAGAGAATTAGAAACGAATTAAAAATAAACAACGAGTAATCGAGCTTCCAGAATCTGCAGAAATCCGCTAGGAAAAAGATCGGATTTTGTCGGATGCCAGAAATGCTAAGAATCTTGGACTTTCGGCGTATTCCCATCGCATCCGCTGGAGTTTACTCGCTCTGAGCAACCATCCTTTAAAGCGTAATTAAGACTGGGAACCTCAAACTTTACATTAGCTTCTTCTTGTGCGCCTTGTTTTTCGAATCTTATTCGATATATGGTCTATTTGAAATGAGATCTTTCCGATCTATTATAAGTATGCGTGAACCTGTTGCTTTTCTGCGCTGCAGAACAGAACATCATGTGACGTACAGTAGGATGTCATTGGTTTTAAACATGGTATAAAGTTAAACATGTTCATTGAATTGGAATAGAAATAGAAAAACATAGGATATTATGGATAGGTCATGATAATCGACTAGGCCAAAACGACTTTTTTCTTACAAAGAGACAAGTCTCTGTGGTGTTTGAAGTATGCTGAACGATATATTTCTAACACTTTAGTATCATACCAGCGAGTTCAATGGGCAGGCATTACTTATAAATTACATCTGTATACTGAAATAAGTCTCATTGAGAACGCATTTGTTATCTTGAACTTGGCCATGGCTATTGTTGGAAATATTAGATCTAAACTGAAAACTCAACAACATTTACCATCAGAAGATGATACTTTTGAGCATGAGCTCTCTAATCAGAACAAATGTGGGAGGATATTTTTCATGTGTTAGGATAGGTTCCTGCAATTACTGAGAAGTAAAGAACATTAATTAATCCAAGCATGTTTGCCTGATTTTAACAATTACAATTTCTTCTCTCTATTTTTAGTGGTAATAAAAGTGACTGTATACTCAGCTAAAAAGTTTCAATATTGCACGGCGCGATTTTATTTACTGAAAACAAAATAAATATATTTTCCTTCTTTGACTACGAGCACACTCATCTTCGACTGCTTTATATATTCGTATATACAAATCCTGTCGATAGCATTATATTAGACTTCGTGAATAATATTGCTGGTTGTTGCAAATTCTATTGTTTATCTACAACACATACAGGCTATTACTACACGGTTGTATTCGTTGTTGGTACTCATTTGTAAACAAACAGAGACTAAATGTGCTCAAATACCGCGATTAAAAGCAAGAATATCTGTATATAGATGATGATCATTGGCATACTTTCAGTCCACTCGATTTATATGAGTGTATTCTGGCCAAGTGCTATTAACTCTTTGCAAACAGGCGGGCTATATACATACCATTTCAGATCCACCTCTAAACGTAGTAATACTACATGTATAAATTCAGTCTGCGGCGGCTCCAGATAGTCAAAATCCACTTCTGTTCAATGATCATCATCTCGTGCGAGTTTTCAATCACCGATACGTGCAGAGAACTCAAAGACAAGTATCTAAACCAAATGAAATGTACGTTCTCTTACGGTGTAATGTTAAAGAACACTACGAATATATATGTCATATCTCAGCGCACAGACTATGATGTTGAATTATGCACAGCTGAGCGGTCTCAGCTTTGTCATCATTCAAAAGACAGATCTCAGAGCAAGGGTACAATAGGCCCCTATCATTAAATTTCATACAACTTCAAACTTCAGAGCGTTTCAAACAGTGTCGAGATGTTCGATTTAAGCAAACCATAAACACAAAGCCCTGTTATCAGAATGATATACAAACGAGCTCGAAAATATATTGCAAAGCTCTTTCCACGATAAAGTACTGCAAAAACACTTCCCTGATATTTTAACATGGATAAGTATCAAGAGTGAATAGTGCTGATCACATTCGACAAAATAACTTGTTTTCAGACTACGCTGATGGTGGGAGATGATTAATCTAACAGAACGATTGGGTGTGCTGTTTTTTAATTATTCTCTCTTCACTACGTCATTCTAGTCAGCTTATAACAGTGTTTCTTTCAAACGCACCGTAGAACTCATACATAACGGAACAATACTACTCTCTCCAAAAATGAACCACAAAAAGAAATAAAATCTCCTCATCAAACAATCAATACATTTAGGCTTTGGAATAAAACATGCAACAGCTTTCTTATAATGAAGAATCACTGCCATTCAGTGTACCACGCCCTGATCACATTGGCATTAGTAGAAATAACATCTCAACTGCAAACGTGCTGTACTATCATCGATCCCATTCTTCTACATCTCCAATATAGTCGAGCTGTCTACAGTAATGCTGTCTTGTCCATCATACCCTCTCAGAATCAAACTCTAAACCGAGAGGATCACTCATAAACGCACCGCACTATGGCGTCTCCTCAACCAAACACCACTCCGTTATACCTTCGTAACTAAACCATTCACTTTCACCGATGCACATGAATTTCTCACGGAAAAAAGCATTAACATTCACTTCTCACAACAACATTCGTTTTCTATACCTTTATTACTCATCAATGTCACGATGACCACACAACAAATGATATCTACTAAGTTCTCAATCGAAAAACATCTGATCAACACAAAGAGCCATCAGATCCACGGTCACTTGTTCCCGATTGAATTTAAAGCCAGATCTATATCATCTTGGCGCTCTAAGAATGAGACCAAACAGAAATTACAAACTTCTTCGACCACAGCATTAATCTTACTATATTCTTTTCCAATGCATCTGCAATGTGTTCAGCTATTTCATCACCGATTCCGTTTTGATTGAGGTTAAGTGTGGTGAGTGTCTGTAGGTGTGAGATAGACTGAGTGCTTCATCTTCTATGAAATGAGATCAATATTACCGTATTCGTTCGCAACGTATCCGCAAGGTGTTGCGCTCCTTCATCACCGATTTCGTTCCAACTGAGGTTAAGTGTGGTCAGTCTCTGTAGATTTAATATACAGTGAGTATTTCATCTTCTATGAAATCAGATAAATATTACTGTATTCGTTCGCAGCGCATCCGCAAGGTGTTGTGCTCCTTCAGTACCGATTCTGTTCTCATCCAGGTGAAGTGTGGTGAGTGTCTGTGGGAGTGATATAGACTGAGTGTTTCATCTTCTATGAAAGGAGATCAGTATTACGGTGTTCGTTCGCAACGCATCCGAAATGTGTTGTGCTCCTTCAGTACCGATTTCGTTCTCAATGAGGTCTAGTATTGTGAGGGCCTGTGGGAGTGATATAGACTGAGTGCTTCATCTTCGATGAAATGAGATCAATATTACCGTATTCGTTCGCAACGCATCCGCAATGTGTTGTGCTCCTTCAGCACCGATTCTGTTCTCATCCAGGTGAAGTGTGGTGAGTGTCTGCAGGTGTGAGACAGATTGAGTGCTTGATCACTAATAGAACGAAATCAATATTACCGTATTCGTTCGCAACGCATCCGCAAGGTGTTGTGCACCTCCATCACCGATACTGTTCCCACTGAGGTTAAGTGTGGAGAGTGTCTGTAGGTGTGAGATAGACTGAGTGCTTCATCTTCTATGAAATGAGATCAATATTACCGTATTCGTTCGCAGCGCATCCGCAATGTGTTGTGCACCTCCATCACCGATACTGTTCCCACTGAGGTTAAGTGTGGTCAGTCTCTGTAGGTTTGATATACACTGAGTATTTCATCTCTAATAAAATGAAATCAATATTACCGTATTCGTTCGCAACGCATCCGCAATGTGTTGTGCACCTCCATCACCGATTTGGTTGCGCCAGAGGTGAAGTGTGGTGAGAGTCTGCAGGTGTGAGACAGATTGAGTGCTTCATCTCTAATAAAATGAAATCAATATTACCGTATTGGTTCGCAGCGCATCCGCAATGTGTTGTGCTCCTTCAGTACCGATTCTGTTCTCATCCAGGTGAAGTGTGGTGAGTGTCTGTGGGAGTGATATAGACTGAGTGTTTCATCTTCTATGAAAGGAGATCAGTATTACGGTGTTCGTTCGCAACGCATCCGAAATGTGTTGTGCTCCTTCAGTACCGATTTCGTTCTCAATGAGGTCTAGTATTGTGAGGGCCTGTGGGAGTGATATAGACTGAGTGCTTCATCTTCGATGAAATGAGATCAATATTACCGTATTCGTTCGCAACGCATCCGCAAGGTGTTGTGCTCCTTCATCACCGATTCTGTTCCCACTGAGGTCTATTGTGGTGAGTGTCTGTAGGTGTGAGACAGACTCAGTGCTTCATCTTCTATGAAATGAGATCAATATTACCGTATTCGTTCGCAACGTATCCGCAAGGTGTTGCGCTCCTTCATCACCGATTTCGTTCCAACTGAGGTTAAGTGTGGTCAGTCTCTGTAGATTTGATATACAGTGAGTATTTCATCTTCTATGAGATCAGATCAATATTACCGTTTTCGTTCGCAACGTATCCGCAAGGTGTTGCGCTCCTTCATCACCGATTCCGTTCTGATGGAGGTTAAGTGTGGTGAGTGTCTGTAGGTGTGAGATAGATTGAGTGCTTCATCTTCTACGAAATGAGATCAATATTACCGTATTCGTTCGCAACGCATCCGCAATGTGTTGTGCTCCTTCAGCACCGATTCGGTTCCCACTGAGGTTAAGTGTGGTGAGTGTCTGTAGGTGTGAGACAGATTGAGTGCTTGATCACTAATAGAACGAAATCAATATTACCGTATTCATTCGCAGCGCATAAGCAATGTGTTGTGCTCCTTCAGCACCGATTCGGTTCCCACTGAGGTTAAGTGTGGTGAGTGTCTGAAGTGAAGAAAAATATGATGAAAAGCGTAAGTAGTTTAGAAAACCTTTGATGGCACTTCTGATGGTATGTATGGGATTTAAAATAGTTATGTTTGGGGTCGATTTTTACGGAGGAGTTGGGTGTATATGTGAATTATTGGAGTGGATGATGATGCTAGTTGTTGTTGCGGAAAGAAGTGCTGTGTCGAGAATTGAGACTGGAGAAAACTGTGGTAGGATGGAATCGGAAAGAGTAGGAGATAAGTTTCAATATTTGTTGGTGGTACTGAGATTTCTCGTTTGAAGACGCGCCGTAGTGAAGTCCAAGTCCTTCTCTTCTGAAATGTAGAAGCTGGACTTGATGTACCCATGTTGAGAATGAATATTGGCATAGGTGAAGCATCTGTACAGTGTTGTTTGCTTCAGTAGATGAGTTCCGTCAAAAGTTGTAAGTGATGCAATTTTTTTATCGAGTAGTACAACGCAGAAACGGTAACGCATAAGTAAGCGTTTTGCTCGTTCATGGTCGCGTATCGGAAGAATGCATCCTCAACGTACATAAAACAAAAGGGAAAGAGTGATGGAATGCTTGATTTCATATGACTTCTGGCTGTGGTTGTCTCATCCTAGGAAATCGTTTGTGAATTATGAAATAAGTTTGGGCTCTGCTATGAGGGAATCTACAACATCAAATACCATTAAGCTTTTGTATAGCACAGTCTACAAGAATGTTGGGATACCAAGTAAACTTACTTGATATCGCTGGTAAGTACTCAGGATCTGATTGAGCCGTCGACAGATATTTTGCATTGAACAAAATAGCGTCCGGCCATTTTGATGATCCATAATTCGATAAACTAGTTCGACGGGTAATGTTGAAAATGTGTGCATGTTGTATTTCAATCGTGCAGCAGACTGTACCGTAGACACTGGAAGCGATGAAAAATATTTGGTTTTGTTCGTTATGAGTAGTAATTCATGGTGATGATGTAGATATACATGTTTTTGACGAAAACAAATGACGTGTAACCATTTCAATAGTTATGAATTGTTGGCGTGCACAGGTAGATGGCAGTAGAATACGTATGCCCAGTGAATTCTGTTTTGACAGATACAATGGTAAATTAAAAAATTGAAAACAGGACATCTTTTATGATTTTGGCCCCTTTGGAAACCGATTCTATTTTCATCAAAAGGAATTAATATCTCTAAAGTAGTTCTTTTTAACTAAAAATTGTAATGAAATATAAAAAATTCTACAGCTTAGATTAGAGATTCATTTTAATTATGTATGTTTTGTCTTCGAGAACACTAAATGTTACCCAGTCAGTTCTCACTGATTGTTTTTCCAACATTTGACGTTTTTTTAGTTAAAAAAAACAGATGATTGTAATAAGTTCGACGATATAGTTTGCTGATAGAGCTTTATGCAGCATTCCTTAGTGTGTTTGTTTCATTTTTTCAAATCTTATTCGATGATAGATAAAATAGAAGCAAAAATGATCGTTTCTCAACCTGAAAAAGCAGTCACATGATCTTTGATTTCTTTTTAAAGCCAAAAACTATAAAATTGAGCTACGGTTTACTGCAGAGGTGACGTTAACTAGAACATTTAAAGTTAAGTTAAATTGCTATCCATAAGCTACATATCTGGTTTTTGTGTTGAAGGGTGAGTTAGAACATTCATTATCTTTCATATAAATAGAATGACAGCTCCCTCATCGAGGTGCTCTAACAATTTTTTGTCAATTCATTTCGATGAATTAAATACTCCATGGTATTTTAATAAATAAGAAAACGTGGAAAACCTTCGAAACACCAAATTTGATCGATTCTCTTAGAAAACAAGACGTTTAGCTTATTGGAAAAGTTAAACCGCTTTTCAATATCCCTAAACAGACGGTTTTAACGATAATTATGAAATTTACAAGAACGCTGTAGTATCCTACTTTAAAACATCCATAGTCCTGCTATTAGCTAACTTCCGATTAGTTTTTTACAATATAATAACTGTGATAAACAAATGCGAGCAGTTACAACGAAGGGCAAAAATAGTACTTGATGTATTATTTGGCTGTGAAGGATAGTATTTTATGTAAAGCGTGCTATGTTATATCGGTTTCATAATATTTTACTCTATGCTTTCTGCAATAAATTATGAAACGAATGGAACTACATTGTTCTAGTACTTCAGCATTGGTTTTCCTTTGCTGAAACACAGACTGCCTATGTGATTTGCCTGAAAATCTATTTTATTCCTTAATTGATGCGCATTCATAGTCCCTCTTACTAAAATTATTTTCGACGATTTGATTTCACTGGTAGCATGAACCCTTTGGGAACAGGATTATTTTTAATAGAGCAAACAAGACTTTACACACTCTGGTGGATGCAAGAGACAATGTGTGCGAAGATAAATAAAAAATAGATGATAAATGATAGCAGTGGACTGTGACATAATGAAAAATTAGAAGTGATGAATATAACTACAAAAAGAAAAACGATGAAAGAGGTCACTATACGAATGATAGTATAATACATTAACGATATATATAGCGACATAGATCATTAAAATATCGTAAATAGTATACGCAAATAAATTATGAGTTATTTCAACCCAGACGAATACATACGTCGTCCGTTCTCAGGGGGTTAAAAACATACAACATGGGATGAATCCAATACATCTTATACATGAAATTTCATGAATATTGGATATCACGAAATATCAGGTGTTATTACGCGTAGTTTCTCAATCACATATGGTGTATATACGTTACCCTTTGACTTTGGAAAGCTTTGCTTTATTGACAATATACTTACAAATACCGTGTTCATTTACGTTATTGCGCTATATGTAGCTGAATGGACGTCATTTGAATATGTTCTTTTTTCTTAGAATAGCTAAAGCTTTTCCATTGGTAAAAAATCTTTTGTATTTGGAATACTACTCCGCAGTCGAATAATGTGGAGAAATCATCTGGTAGTAATTCAGTCGAATGAAATCGTTCAATAGCATCATCTTACCTCACTTGAGATTGGAACAACTGATATTACTTATATCTGTTGGCTTGAAAGATCATAATGCATATTTTCCTTTATTGTAAATTAGTTTTCATTGAATGTGTTTGCCAATCTGAGTCAAAAATAAACTTAATTGTTTCGCTTGCTACTACCAACAAGTAGCGCTCATCTGTTGGATTCTCTGACTCTGTTCTGAAAGAATTACAAGACTCAGATAAAAACTCTAACGTATATCTCACTCTAACGCGCTTCAAATTAACGCCACTTTTATGCACATTCTTTTCTTTTAATTCTTTTCTACTTTATTCATGCCAAACTGCTTTCAATTCATTTGTCCAAAGACGTGAGCAAAAGGAACACTGTTTCTAAAGATTTACTAATCGACTCTCTTCCCACTATTTACAATCAAAAATCAATTTACTTACACTTATTTTATCTCTTCTAGGCCACCCAAACAAACTCCTGGTCGCTCGTCGGTCTGCCTCCGGTCGGCCACTCGCGACTAGCCGTTACATGTCCAACTTTCATTCTTTCATCTGGCTTAAATTCCCTTCAGTAATGTTATCAATAGGCTGATATGAGTATGAGTATCCAGCAGGCGGACGTTAATCAGCTATTTCGTTTTGTTCTACATATTGCTGCTTCAAACACTATCGCCCACAAAAAATCTTCCTTGCAAAAAATCGTACTTTTTCTGAAAAAACAGAACAAAATTTTTCTACAGAAAAAGTAACCTCAGATTCGTAATCCTCGACCTCGGTTATCTCATCAGTGGTCAATCTTTGATGATTATAGATAAATTTCATTGATTTGTAATATGCTGCAATCTGATTGGATTATGCAAACAAAAAAACTTTATGCATTTTCACGACTGTATTTATGTCGCTATAACCCTTTCTTTCAGAAAAGGGAATAAATTGGTAGAAGAATAGATTTCAAAGGAAAAAAAAATCATCTATATATGTTCAGAGAGAATAAACATCGAACGTAAGTAAACGAACTTCACATTCGATAATATCCAACTGGTTTCTAAAACAAATCGAGAAAATCTTATTATCTACTGATCTTTGAGAAAGGGGTCTGTGAAACTTACGAAATTGCCGAGCATTTTTAAAACTGAAGTACTCAATTCATTCTTGTCGAGATTTTCCTTGAGAGTGCCACCGAAGGTATTACGTAAATACATTAAAATTTCATAGAGTTGTTCTTCATGTATTCTTAGATGATGAAGCAAACGTATTTTAGTATTAGAAAGATCAGCTAATGAAAAGAAAAGAAAATGGATTGATATTTGATTTATGTTTCATTATTTACTTGTCGAAGCCAAACAATATTGCGTGAGAAAATAATCAATTCTTCTTGTCGTTGTAATCTGGTGTTCAAGTTGTTCATAGTCATTCAATTCATTGATCGACACTGATGGGCAAGCCTCATAAGCCCCACTGGAAAATGAGTCATCTTCTAGAAAAATCAAAAAGAATAATACGATCTGTTATCTAAGGTGAGTGTGGTCACTTCGAGATGAACCAGGCCGATGTTTGATCTAAATAAAAGTGAGCATTGCAATGGATTCTATGAATGAAAAACTAACCGTTCGTCCGTGGCAAAATCGTTTTCATCTCGTTGGATATTCTGTTGAACCATCCCAGGTCGATTATTCCGGCGACTGGATTCGTTACAGGTCTTCTCGATTCCGGTACAGTTTTCGCCGATTCCAGCAGGTTCCTTGCCGCTGGAATTATCCGATCAGTTCCTGATCATTTCCAGCTCGAAGTTTGCAGGAAATGACTGGAACCGACAGTGCCATAATAACCTGGGATAGGTCGAATCTTTTCCGTTCCATCTTTGAATAAATAATCTCGACTTTCCTTACTTAAGAATTTTTCATCGTCTTGAATAATTGAAATCAGATCAATATTAATTAAACATTGAGCAGAATCGATATCGAGTTCTCTGAGAAATCGAGACATTTTCTCTCCATGTTCTTTTTGAACTAATCGAAGAAATTCTGTACGACCACACGCAAAATAGATCTTTTTCAGTGAGGAAGTCAATCTCTTCATTCTAAAATAGAGTCAACAATTTCAGGGAGATTTCGTCATCGAAATATCAATCAGATCTCAACAGATACATACAAGGTACATTTTGAGATTGATGCCACTTTGTTTATATCAATGAATTCGTGTTCTTCTTCTTCGAACGAAAATGAAATCAAATCTGTTGAAAGATATTCTTTAGTTAGATATTTAGCCTTTGTTTTATTAATTTAAGTGAACAGACGGATTAGGTCAAAGAACATTGACTAAGATGAAAATGATGATAGATGACAGTAGAACATGTTTATAGCGCATAGAAATAAATATCGATCGCCCAATGAATACGTGAAAAATTTGACGTGTATTCGAATTCAAGCAGAGTTGTAACGGGCGCTGGACGGCACTTATCTAGTAAAAAAGTTTTTAGCTAACACATCGTTTGTTCGCGCGCTAGAGCTTTACACTCTGATGTTTTGAAAACGGCGACACTGTCTAGTCTAAAACGGTATAGAAGTATTATCAATATTGTTGATGCTAACGTTTGAGTTAGCCTGAAAAATTAGCACGTTCAGTCCTCGTTGAGATAAAATGTGAAAGAGCGATCGCATAGTATTATTCAAGTTGATATTTCGATTTGAAGTTCGATGGCTTTTTTCGAGCGACATCTATAGAATTCCTATTATGATATTATTTCTACAAACGGCGAAACTTATTTTTGTTACAGGAGCGTTTTTCTACGAATGGTTGCTCATTTACCGATTGAGTAATTTTACTCGAATCTTCTGCGTCGATCGACCAATCCAACTTGACAGAACGCTAACTTATATTCTTGATCACTTCTGTCGTAATAAGAGTTTGTTTATCTGATACTAGTAATTTCATTGTTCTTACATCATTCGAACGGTTTTCATTATTTTCGATTCATTTTATACAACATCACAATGACTGATTATTGGAAATCTGGTGAAAAGCACTTCTGCACTTTTTGTAAATGTTGGTTAGCTGGAAACAAAATTAGTATTGATTTACATGAAAGCGGTAATCATCACAAGAGTATGGTTCGAGCGAAAGTCGAACAGTTACGTAAAGCAAATATTGAAAAAGAACGTGAAAGTAAGAATTTCTCGGATACATTAGGACAAATGGAACGCGCTGCTAATGCCGCATACACTCGTGACCTGGCTAATAGTGTGATGCCCAAAACAAGTGATGCAACGTCTGATATCAGTCTTCCATCGAAATTGAAACGACCTGTAGATCAGCCTGTGCAAGTGCAAATAAAAAAGCCAAAATTTGTCATTAAAACTCCAACAGCGAAACCTGTCTATGAGCCAATTGTTACACCGTCGGAAAACGAAACGAAAGTGCCAAAAAAGGAACAAATAGCGAGTGTTTCAGAAGCAAATGAAGAAGCAGCAGTAACAATAAACAAAACTGTTCCGAAAGAGCCAGAAGAAACTGCGACGACTGCCAACAATTCTGAAGGCACTTGGTACGAATCGAAAACTGAGAATCAAGAATCGTTTTATTGGAATGACACAACCGGAGCGTCAACATGGACACCACCTACTGTATATCTCTCAATTGAACAACAACGGGCAAAAGGATTGAAAGTGTTATAGTCTAATCTCTTCGAATTTGGCTACTCCATTCATTCACGTTCGTTTCACTTGTTCTTTGTCTTTTCTTGTGATGTATATAAATATTATTGTTAGAGAGGTATAGACACGGAATAAAAGGTTGAGAACGAAGTTTTGCTCGTCATTGACTTCCGTCTCGATGAAGACACACAGCAAGAGTTCTTCTTGATCGAGAAGAGATATGGCTGAAGATCAAGTGACGAATACAGATGACCAAGTGTCTGCATTAGCGAAGTTTTATCCATCCTTAACTGTCAATTTCATGAAACAATCTATTACAATGAACAAGCAAAGTAATAATACAACTCTCATAGAAGTATCGGCAATGCCCTGCTCTTCACCATACAATAAATATTTGAGTTTGATCAGAAACGAAAGTTTCGCTTACGATCTTTAGTTATAGACAAAGGCAATTATCCATGATAGTATTTAAAATTTGATAGATGAATATGAATTGTCAAGAAAACGTTTCTCATACCGGGAACAGCCCATATGAATTGTTCTTCCTATGTCTACCGACATCTATGTTTATTCTACGATTATCTGTTAGAGTCTATTGATTTACCAATGATGTTAGTTGTGAATGTGACTCATGTGCATTTTATTTCAATATGCATCTTTATTTAGCTTTGTTCATTTATCTACATCTCGTCGTGAAGTCACACTCGTCGTCGAAATACAGACGACAGAGAAAATGAATGAAGATTTAAACAAAGCCATGTTCGTTTTTGACTAGCACCTCGACAGCACGCACCATTAAGTTTATAGAATTATTTTGTTCTTTTTTTTTCTATTGCATAGGTCATGTAAACAAATTGTTGGTATTTTCTTCTTGTGTTTCAGATAAAGAAAAATCGTCATTCGATTCATTTACTATTAAACAAATACAACTATGTCCAACGACGCTCGTAAGAAAATTTATAAAAATGCAGGACTTGATAGTGATGAAATACGTAAACGACGTGAAGATCTTAATATAACACTACGAAAGCAGAAACGCGAAGAGCAAGTAAGAAATAAACGAATCGATTATTTTATCTGCTGCTTTTCATAGCATTTCAAACGACGAAACTTAGCTAGTAGCGATGAGCAAGAGACGCCAGCATCATTTGGTGTGCCTACTGCTGGTACCTCGCCAACAGCACCTACTGAACCAGTAAGAATCACATTCTTCGGATTTCTTTGAAGATTTATTAAATTCCTATCACAGGCTATTACTAGTCAAATGGCAGCTGCATTATACAGCAATGATGTTCAACAGATGCTTGAAACAACGATACGTTTCCGAAAATTACTTTCAAAAGGTTCGATTGAGTTTAATGATTGATCATAGGATAGAATAATTTATTTGACTTTACTATTAGAACCTAATCCACCTATTGATGAAGTAATTACAGCTGGCATAGTTCCTCGTTTCGTTGAACTGTTACATTTTCAACACTTTCAAATTCAGGTAGATGATCATAAACTTGTAAACGATCAAATTTGAAGGTTTTTTTCTCATAGTTTGAAGCAGCATGGGCTTTAACAAATATTGCATCGGGCAATTCAAGTCAAACAAAATATGTTATTGATGCTGGTGCTGTACCCGTTTTTGTTCAGCTATTGAGCAGTGCAAATGAAGATGTTCAAGAACAGGTAACCAAAGTCAAGCTCTTTTTCTTTTTCACTTTGAAATACGCGGTTTGTAGGCTGTTTGGGCTCTTGGTAACATCGCTGGTGACAGTCCTGAGTGTCGTGACTACGTTCTCGATACTGGCATCCTTCAACCGTTGTTGAAGTAAGTAGATTTTTATTCATCTCACAATAGCTCCACCGTTCGCTTTTGTTCATCTGTAGCATTTTTACTCGCAATACTCGTTTGACAATGGTACGTAATGCTGTCTGGTGTTTATCGAACTTATGTCGTGGCAAGAATCCAACAGTTGACTTCAATAAGGTAAATACAAACGCTAACAACATTACTCTATTTCTGTGCTGTGCTTAGGTTGCACCAGCGTTGCCAGTACTTAATCAACTTCTACATAATATGGATGCTGACGTCTTGGCTGATACTTGCTGGGCTATTTCATATTTATCTGATGGACCCAATGAAAAAATTCAGGCTGTCATTCAGATTGTTGACGTTCGACGACTCGTGGAATTATTAGCGTAAGTATTCTCATTTTTTTTATTGCCATAGAGTAAACGATCTTATGTTTGCTTTGTCATTATTAGACACCCGGTTTTAAATGTTCAATCATCAGCCTTACGAGCGGTCGGCAATATTGTTACTGGTGACGACCACCAAACTCAAGTAAGCAAAAGAGTCTTGTAAAACATTTCCCAACTAATGTGCTGTACTCTGATAGGCCGTACTTGATGCTGGTGTTCTTCCTCATCTTTTAACTTTATTGCAAAGTCAAAAAGAATCTATAAAAAAGGAAGCATGCTGGACATTATCCAACATTACAGCTGGTGTCCAAGCTCAAATTCAGGTAAAAAATTGTTTGCATTGATCTGATAAAATTTTGTGTATCATTCTTTTCTAGGCTGTTATCGATGCCAATATAATTCCATCGTTACTTAATATTCTCAAACATGGTGACCATAAAACACGAAAAGAAGCTGCTTGGGCCGTCACCAACGCAACATCAGGTGGCACACCCCAACAAATCAAGTAAATAAATTTTCATTGCACACCAAACATTTTTCCTTTCGGCTTTCCTAGATATATTATCGATCAAGGTGTCATTCCTCCCTTGTGTGAACTATTAAGTGTTGCCGACGCGAAAATAATCCAAGTTGCTCTAAATGGTCTCGATAATATTCTTAAATTAGGTGTTAACGAAGCTAAACGAACGAATGGTCCAAATCCGTATACAATTATGATCGAAGAATGTTACGGTTTAGATAAAATCGAATATCTTCAAAGTCATGAAAACATTGAAATCTATCAGAAAGCTTTCCACCTAATTGAAACATATTTCGGTGTTGACGAAGACGAGAACGTTCCTGCCGTAAGACGAAATATTCACTGTCGTCATAGATCTTACTTTCTGCTTGTTCTTTTCTAGCAAGGAGAATCGCGTCCGTTTGAGTTTGGTACATCAGCTGCATCGACAGCAATGAATGGACAAACGAATGCCACTAACCCGCAAGGTCAATTCCAATTTTAAATCCTGTCGGATGGTGAAGAAAAAGCAGACCAAACAAATTCGTTGGACATACTCTATTTTTTTTAAGCTTGAAAAACTTCTTCCTTTTCTTCTTCTTTCTCAGTATCTTGTCATCACAAACAGGAAAAACTAACAGTAATCGCACTTTTCCGACATGAAATTTTCTCGTTCTTTTTCTTCTATTGCCGGTGATGCATGTTTATTTTTTCCTTCGTTTCGGATTCTAACAAGAAATGACTAACGACGGTGGCGATGATGATGATGATGATGATAACGATGACAAGTATATAAATACAATTTTTTTTCTCTGCCTTTTTCTTCAAATCATGTACGAAATCAGAAAAACAGAAAGAAAATCATATGCGTTAAAATGTTCTTGTAATAAAACACTCACACACATGGGAGAAAGCGACATTTCATTTACTTTACAACTACTTTTGTGAAAAAAGTCGAAGAATACTTGTTATCAGTTAAATGGAAGAAAAGAAAACAATCTTATACTTCTAGATTTTGATAGTCAAAGAAACAGAACTACTGCTAGATACAGACAGCATGTGTCGTCCAAGAAAGCAAGTATGTAGCAGATTGAAGTATATCATAAAGATCTTTTTTTTACCGAGAGATACGAGTTGGTTCATTTAATTCAAGTATTCGACCTTTGTATTGATTATTTCAGGATTTGGAAGAGGAGTCAGTTTGTGATAGATCGTATCAGGAACCACAAGAGAATGCTCTGCATGTGATGATACTTCAACAACAGATCGAGCTAGAACAGCTGCTTCAAACAGTGGAGAATCTCAAGAATAATATTATTCAGTTGCATGATCAAGAGCAAGAATTGATTCAACGGTTAACTCGAATGAAGCAGTCTCAAAGTTCGATACTATCTGATATCTATTCGTTTGTGTCCAATAAAAAGGTTCTCTTTTTTGGTATGAATGATTAACGGTTGATTTCGTCGAACAATGCTCTCCTTTTTCTATTATAGTCTCTGGTTTTCTCACAGGTTTCTGTGTTATTCCCACGATTAGTAGAATGTTTTCTTCAGCACGTGTTTTGTCATGATAATAATATGTCGATTTTTTGATAACTTCGTCTTTCTTGTAAATCAATTTCAGATGGATCCTAGTTCTGATGATAATCACGAGTTCTTACAAACCGCACTCGATTATACTAAGGTGAGATAGTGTGAATGATATTCATCATGTTTCGATTTACCGTATAGGTTGAGCCCATCAACCAACGACGTCAAACTGAACATATTAATCAATTCTTGCTTAATACAGTTCATTTTTTTAATACATTCAGTGCACAAGTAGAAAATAAATTCCAAAAACTAGAAACCAATCTTCAGCGCATTGAGGCCGATTTTGCAATACTTGATTCTAAAGTAAGAATCAGTTTTTCAATAAACTACCTATACATTCCATTGTTTAGCTTCGTTCCACTCCAGGTTATCAGGCACTTGATCTTCCAGTTGTCTCAAGTCCGGTGAGTTCAGCAGCCGCCGCTGCAGAACCTACAACTTCGTCAGCGAATACTAGTACAGCATCTATTCCACCCCCGCCTCCTCCTCCTCCCGCCCCGCCATCGGGTGGCGGAATCCCAGTTCCACCTCCTCCTCCTCCTCCCCCGCCGCCTGCTGAGCCTGCGAAAGTCGAAGATCCTCGGACTGAAAAGTATCGCAAAATGTTGGCTATGGTATGATCATGTCTTCAAGTTAATTTCATTGCTCTATCTTCCTACTTCTTAGCGTGTACCACGAGAGGGTGTTCGACACAAGATGATAGCCGACGGTTTAGATCAAGAAACAATCGAGTATAGTTATACAAGCTTTGTGCTTTTCTTTACTGAACTCTTCCTCATCTAGATCCGTGATTGGTACAGATTAAGCAGTTGCAATGATTCTTCCGTCTTTATTTATGTTCTTTTTTGTTCTTTTTTTGTGTATCAATTCTAAAATGAAGTTTATCGAATTCGTATCTTTTTCTACATGATTGAATCCAAATATGTACTTCAGATAGATATGAATACACATCACAAACATGCAATGATCTATTCTTCTACACCGCAACTAAGTGGCACACTGTTGAATGCACCCCATTTGAAAACCGATCGGAATGATTTTGTCTCGTCACTTGTTCATACACTCGTTCAATCGGATCCGATAAAACAAACATCTCTGATTGAATCTCTTCGACATCAACAACAGATCATTGGCACTAATTCAAAAAATATCCATCAGTTCTCTCGACAGAAGCGGAAACATCTCTCTCGTCAAGGCAATAAAGTCCTATCGAAAACGATCAAAAAAGCTCGACACGATGCTCGACAAGTGCGCATAGATCAACTGCCAATTGATTATAATAATTACGTGTTCATGAATCATCTTTGGAAACAGTACATAGCAGAATTACTGAAAGACGCTACGAACAATGACTTCATACTACAGCGAATAGTTACTGCCGATTACCATGGATGTATAATACGAGTTGTGGAAGCAAAAAATCAAACACTAGTGGGTAAAGAAGGAATTGTGATTCAAGAAACAAAGAACATCTTCGTTATTGTGGAAAAA